TGTGTTAAACATGTCCTTTGTTGCCACATGTTTGTGTTAAACATCTCCTTCCTTGTCACATGTTTGTGTTAAACATCTCCTTCATTGCTACATGGTTGTGTTAAACATCTCCTTCCTTGCCACATGTTTGTGTTAAACATCTCCTTCATTGCCACATGTTTGTGTTAAACATCTCCTTCATTGCCACATGTTTGTGTTAAACATCTCCTTCCTTGCAACATGGTTGTGTTAAACATGTCCTTCATTGCCACATGTGTGTGTTAAACATGTCCTTCATTGCCACATGTGTGTGTTAAACATGTCCTTCATTGCCACATGTTTGTGTTAAACCTCTCCATCATTGCCACATGTTTGTGTTAAACATCTCTTTCCTTGCCACATGTTTGTGTTAAACATCTCCTTTGTTGCCACATGTTTGTGTTGAACATGTCCTTCATTGCCACATGTGTGTGTTAAACATGTCCTTCATTGCCACATATTTGTGTTAAACCTCTCCATCATTGCCACATGTTTGTGTTAAACATCTCCTTCCTTGCCACATGTTTGTGTTAAACATCTCCTTTGTTGCCACATGTTTGTGTTGAACATCTCCTTCATTGCCACTTGTTTGTGTTGAACATCTCCTTCATTGCCACATGTTTGTGTTGAACATCTCCTTCCTTGCCACATGTTTGTGTTAAACATCTCCTTCATTGCCACATGTTTGTGTTAAACATCTCCTTCCTTGCCACATGTTTGTGTTAAACATCTCCTTTGTTGCCACATGTTTGTGTTAAACATCTCCTTCATTGCCACATGTTTGTGTTGAACATCTCCTTTGTTGCCACATGTTTGTGTTGAACATCTCCTTCATTGCCACATGTTTGTGTTAAACATGTCCTTTGTTGCCACATGTTTGTGTTAAACATCTCCTTCATTGACACATGTTTGTGTTAAACATCTCCTTCATTGCCACATGTTTGTGTTGAACATCTCCTTTGTTGCCACATGTTTGTGTTGAACATCTCCTTCATTGCCACATGTTTGTGTTAAACATGTCCTTTGTTGCCACATGTTTGTGTTAAACATCTCCTTCATTGACACATGTTTGTGTTAAACATCTCCTTCATTGCTACATGGTTGTGTTAAACATCTCCTTCCTTGCCACATGTTTGTGTTAAACATCCTCTTCCTTGTCACATGTTTGTGTTTAACATGTCCTTTGTTGCCACATGTTTGTGTTAAACATCTCCTTCCTTGCCACATGTTTGTGTTCAACATCTCCTTCATTGCCACATGTTTGTGTTAAACATCTCCTTCGTTGCCACTTGTTTGTGTTGAACATCTCCTTCATTGCCACATGTTTGTGTTGAACATCTCCTTCCTTGCCACATGATTGTGTTAAACATCTCCTTCCTTGCCACATGTTTGTGTTAAACATCTCCTTCATTGCCACTTGTTTGTGTTAAACATCTCCTTCATTGCCACTTGTTTGTGTTAAACATCTCCTTCATTGCCACATGTTTGTGTTTAACATGTCCTTTGTTGCCACATGTTTGTGTTTAACATCTCCTTCCTGGCCACATGTTTGTGTTAAACATCTCCTTCATTGCCACTTGTTTGTGTTAAACATCTCCTTCATTGCCACTTGTTTGTGTTAAACATCTCCTTCATTGCCACATGTTTGTGTTTAACATCTCCTTCCTTGCCACATGTTTGTGTTAAACATCTCCTTCATTGCCACTTGTTTGTGTTAAACATCTCCTTCATTGCCACTTGTTTGTGTTGAACATCTCCTTCATTGCCACATGTTTGTGTTGAACATCTCCTTCCTTGCCACATGTTTGTGTTAAACATCTCCTTCATTGCCACATGTGTGTGTTAAACATATCCTTCCTTGCCACATGTTTGTGTTGAACATCTCCTTCATTGCCACATGTTTGTGTTGAACATCTCCTTCCTTGCCACATGTTTGTGTTAAACATGTCCTTTGTTGCCACATGTTTGTGTTGAACATCTCCTTTCTTGCCACATGTTTGTGTTAAACATCTCCTTCATTGGCACATGTTTGTGTTGAACATCTCCTTCCTTGCCACATGTTTGTGTTAAACATCTCCTTCATTGCCACATGTTTGTGTTGCACATCTCCTTCCTTGCCACATGTTTGTGTTAAACATCTCCTTCATTGGCACATGTGTGTGTTAAACATCTCCTTTGTTGCCACATGTTTGTGTTGAACATCTCCTTCATTGCCACATGTTTGTGTTAAACATGTCCTTTGTTGCCACACGTTTGTGTTAAACCTCTCCATCATTGTCACATGTTTGTGTTAAACATCTCCTTCATTGCCACATGGTTGTGTTAAACATGTCCTTTGTTGCCACTTGTTTGTGTTAAACATCTCCTTCCTTGCCACATGTTTGTGTTAAACATCTCCTTCATTGCTACATGGTTGTGTTAAACATCTCCTTCCTTGCCACATGTTTGTGTTAAACATCTCCTTCATTGCCACATGTTTGTGTTAAACATCTCCTTCATTGCCACTTGTTTGTGTTAAACATCTCCTTCATTGCCACTTGTTTGTGTTAAACATCTCCTTCATTGCCACATGTTTGTGTTAAACATGTCCTTTGTTGCCACATGTTTGTGTTAAACATCTCCTTCATTGACACATGTTTGTGTTAAACATCTCTTTCATTGCTACATGGTTGTGTTAAACATCTCCTTCCTTGCCACATGTTTGTGTTAAACATCTCCTTCCTTGCCACATGTTTGTGTTAAACATCTCCTTCATTGCCACATGTTTGTGTTTAACATCTCCTTCCTTGCCACATGTTTGTGTTAAACATCTCCTTCATTGCCACTTGTTTGTGTTAAACATCTCCTTCATTGACAATTGTTTGTGTTGAACATCTCCTTCATTGCCACATGTTTGTGTTGAACATCTCCTTCCTTGCCACATGTTTGTGTTAAACATCTCCTTCATTGCCACATGTTTGTGTTAAACATCTCCTTCATTGCCACATGTTTGTGTTGAACATCTCCTTCATTGCCACATGTTTGTGTTGAACATCTCCTTCCTTGCCACATGTTTGTGTTGAACATCTCCTTCATTGCCACATGTTTGTGTTAAACATCTCCTTCATTGCCACATGTTTGTGTTAAACATCTCCTTCATTGCCACATGTTTGTGTTGAACATCTCCTTCATTGCCACTTGTTTGTGTTAAACATCTCCTTCATTGCCACATGTTTGTGTTGAACATCTCCTTCCTTGCCACATGTTTGTGTTAAACATCTCCTTCATTGCAACATGTGTGTGTTAAACATCTCCTTTGTTGCCACATGTTTGTGTTGAACATCTCCTTCATTGCCACACGTTTGTGTTAAACCTCTCCATCATTGTCACATGTTTGTGTTAAACATCTCCTTCATTGCCACATGTTTGTGTTTAACATGTCCTTTGTTGCCACATGTTTGTGTTAAACATCTCCTTCATTGCCACATGGTTGTGTTAAACATCTCCTTCCTTGCCACATGTTTGTGTAAAACATCTCCTTCATTGCTACATGGTTGTGTTAAACATCTCCTTCCTTGCCACATGTTTGTGTTAAACATCTCCTTCATTGCTACATGTTTGTGTTAAACATGTCCTTTGTTGCCACATGTTTGTGTTAAACATGTACTTTGTTGCCACATGTTTGTGTTGAACATCTCGTTCATTGCCACATGTTTTTGTTGAACATCTCCTTTGTTGCTACATGTTTGTGTTGAACATCTCCTTCATTGCCACATGTTTGTGTTAAACATCTCCTTCATTGCCACATGTTTGTGTTAAACATCTCCTTCATTGCTACATGGTTGTGTTAAACATCTCCTTCCTTGCCACATGTTTGTGTTAAACATCTCCTTCATTGCTACATGTTTGTGTTAAACATGTCCTTTGTTGCCACATGTTTGTGTTAAACATCTCCTTCATTGCTACATGTTTGTGTTAAACATGTCCTTTGTTGCCACATGTTTGTGTTTAACATGTCCTTTGTTGCCACATGTTTGTGTTAAACATCTCCTTCCTTGCCACATGTTTGTGTAAAACATCTCCTTCATTGCTACATGGTTGTGTTAAACATCTCCTTCCTTGCCACATGTTTGTGTTAAACATCTCCTTCATTGCTACATGTTTGTGTTAAACATGTCCTTTGTTGCCACATGTTTGTGTTAAACATGTACTTTGTTGCCACATGTTTGTGTTGAACATCTCGTTCATTGCCACATGTTTTTGTTGAACATCTCCTTTGTTGCTACATGTTTGTGTTGAACATCTCCTTCATTGCCACATGTTTGTGTTAAACATCTCCTTCATTGCCACATGTTTGTGTTAAACATCTCCTTTCTTGCCACATGTTTGTGTTTAACATCTCCTTCATTGCCACATGTTTGTGTTAAACATCTCCTTCATTGCCACATGTTTGTGTTAAACATCTCCTTCCTTGCCACATGTTTGTGTTAAACATCTCCTTCATTGCTACATGTTTGTGTTAAACATGTCCTTTGTTGCCACATGTTTGTGTTAAACATGTACTTTGTTGCCACATGTTTGTGTTGACGATCTCCTTCATTGCCACATGTTTTTGTTGAACATCTCCTTTGTTGCTACATGTTTGTGTTGAACATCTCCTTCATTGCCACATGTTTGTGTTAAACATCTCCTTCATTGCCACATGTTTGTGTTAAACATCTCCTTTCTTGCCACATGTTTGTGTTTAACATCTCCTTCATTGCCACATGTTTGTGTTAAACATCTCCTTCATTGCCACATGTTTGTGTTGAACATCTCCTTCATTGCCACATGTTTGTGTTAAACATGTCCTTTGTTGCCACATGTTTGTGTTTAACATGTCCTTTGTTGCCACATGTTTGTGTTAAACATCTCCTTCATTGCCACATGTTTGTGTTAAACATCTCCTTCATTGCCACATGTGTGTGTTAAACATATCCTTCTTTGCTGAATGATTGTTTCAGGATTGTGATTGTGTTAAATGGAAGGAAGCAAGGACAAAGTATTAGAACTGGAGTTCTGGAGAAATTGCTATGACACCAATAACCTCTTCTGGCACCAGGATGAAGTAAACCAGTAAGTACATGTTAATACATTTTCTTAATCCTATAAATTTTGCATTTCTTGAGGTTTTTATGTTGATACTCAATGTTTTACGCTTTTCATTAATTCACTTCTTAAAAGAATATAGAGTTTAGAACAACTCCATGTTTTGTAGACCAAGGGCCATAAAAATATTCCTTGTAATTTGGTAACAATTTCAGAAATCACTTCAATAGCAATTAACGCAATGGTACATTTCATTCAATTGTTGTAGGTTATTCTTGAAGTATGTGGACAAGTTGGTATCAGGGAGGACAGTGGCAACAATCTTATTCCCACTCTGTAGCAAAGACAAGGGCATGAAATGGTAAGTTGGGCATGAATGGGTAGATAGGGCATGAAATGCTAAGTAGGGCATGTAGGGGTAGATAAGGAATGAAGTGGTAAGTAGGGCATGTAAATGTAGATTGGGAATGAAGTGGTAAATAGGGCATGTAAGGGTAGATAGAGTATGAAATGCTAAGTAGGACATGTATTGGTAGGTAGGACATGACATGCTAAGTAGGGCACGTATGAGCTGATGGGGAATGAAGTAGTATGTAGGGCATACAAATGTAGATCGAAAATGAAGTGCTAAATTGGGCATCTAAGGGTAGATAGGGCATGAAATGCTAAGTAGGGCATGTACCGGTACATAGGGAATGAAGTGGTAGGTAGGGCATGTAAATGTAGATAGGGAATGAAGTAGTAAGTAGGGCATGTAAAGGAGACAGGGCATGAAATGCTAAGTAGGGCATGTACGGGTATGAAATGCTAAGTAGGGCATGTACAGGAAGATAGGGAATGAAGTGGTAAGAATGGCATGTAAATGTAGATCAGGAATAAAGTGGTAAATAGGGCATGTAAGGGTAGATAGGGCATGGAATGCTAAATGGGGTGCATATACCGGTAGATGGGGAATGAAGTGGAAAGTAGGGCATGTAAATGTAGATCAGGAATGAACTGGTAAGTAGGGCATGTAAGGGTAGATAGGGATATGAAATGCTAAGTAGGGCATGTACGGGTAGATAGGGAATGAAGTGGTAAGAATGGCATGTAAATGTAGATAGGACATATAATGGTAAGTAGGGCATGTAAGGGTGGATACAGCAAGAAATGGTAAGTACGGCATGTAAGGGTAGATAGGGAATGAAGCGGTAAGTAGAGCTTAAATGTAGATTGGGCAGGAAATTGTAGGTAGGACCAGTAAGGGTAGATACAGCAAGAAATGGTAAGTAGGGCATTTAAGGGTAGATAGGGCATGAACTGCTAAGTAGGGCATGTACAGGTACATAGGGAATAAAGTGGTAAGTAGGGCATGTAAATGTTGATAGGGAATGAAGTGGTGAGTAGGGCATGTAAGGGTAGATAGGGCATGAAATGATAAGTAGGACATGTATGGGTAGATAGGGCATGAAGTGGTAAGTAGGGCATGTAAATGTAGATAGGGAATGAAGTAGTAAGTAGGGCATGTAAGGGTAGATAGGGAATGAAGTGGTTAGGCATGTACATGTAGATAGGAAATGAAGTGGTAAGTAGGGCATGTAAGGGTAGTTAGGGCATGAAATGCTGAGTAGGGCATGTAAGGCTAAATAGGGAATGATGTAGTAAGTAGGCCATGTAAATGAAGATAGGGATTGAAGTGGTAAGTAAGGCATGTAAGGTAGTTAGGGCATGAAATGCTAAGTAGGGCATGTAAGGGTAAATAGGGAATAAAGTGGTAAGTAGGGCATGTAAATGTAGATAGGAAATGAAGTGGTAAGTAGGGCATGTAAGGGTAGATAGGGAATGAAGTGGTAAGTAGGGCATGTAAATGTAGATAGGAAATGAAGTGGTAAGTAGGGCATGTAAGGTAGATAGGGCATGAAATGATAAGTAGGACATGTATGGGTAGATAGGGCATGAAGTGGTAAGTAGGGCATGTAAATGTAGATAGGGAATGAAGTTGTAAGTAGGGCATGTAAGGGTAGATAGGGAATGAAGTGGTAAGTAAGGCATGTACATGTAGATAGGAAATGAAGTGGTTAGTAGGGCATGTAAGGGTAGTTAGGGCATGAAATGCTAAGTAGGGCATGTAAGGGTAAATAGGGAATGATGTGGTAAGTAGGGCATGTAAATGTAAGATTGGGATTGAAGTGGTAAGTAAGGCATGTAAGGATAGATAGGGCATGAAATGCTAAGTAGGGCATGTAAGGGTAGATACAACAGGAAATGGTAAGTAGGGCATGTAAGGGTATAGATTGGGGATGGTAGGGTAGATAGTAGAGGTGTCACGGATACCCAATTTTGTTCCAACCAGCAGAATTATGCTCTCGGAACGGGACACGGAACAAAAATTAAGCATTTCAGTTTGGTTCCATAAATCGTGACAAAACAGTCTTTTAACAATATTTTGCATTCATTCTTTTCACTCCTTCTCATTGAAGAGTTTTGAAGAGCTTTTTCGCTATCAAATAGACCTAGACAATCAACTTATTTCAATTTATTATATACCCCATATGTATTCTAGATGCTCATTGGCTTATTCATGGTTACATGCTATGAAATAGATGAACTAATTCCCTGCAAAGTTCTAAATCCCTGCTATCAGGGAAGATGAAATGTACAAATCACCAGTTAGGTCATGTGACCAGTCATTTGTATGTTTATCTTCCCTGATAGCTGAGATTATAGGAGTGTATTTAAAATACCTTTAAATGCCAATAAGAACCTGTCAACATTAAATGTTGAAATTAAAAGACTTTTTGTCTTTGTTTACAGAGTACATATGGGGTATTCAATAAAACAAATAGTGACTAGCTGCCACATTTTCGGGAAAAGTGTAAGTAAATTTTCTCCTCAGGAATATCCTGTCCACTGACATGTTCCCTCGGCCTGCAGCCTTGGGAACATGTCAGTGGACAGAATATTCCCTCTGGAAAAATATTTTGCACTATTTCCCTCAATGGCTGTCACTATTTGTATACTATTTGTATATTTGGAACAGACTGACAAGCAGTCACTCTGTTCCAAACTGTAAGGGCCTATGTATATGCAATTATCCCACCCTACATGCTTTCATACTATGTCCCGCGAACTCCCATGCAGTGTCTCGGTATAGACACTGCGGTGGGCAGAAGAAGAAAATCCCCAAAATTTGGGGAAAATAGTTCCCCTTTTCATCATATATGTGGTCAATTTTCACAAAACTTGTAAAATATGTATTCATGAATGTTCCCCAAGCATTATTTTGTCTAAATATTTCAAAATTATTGAAATATGAGAAGAAATCACCGTGGAAGGAATTCTGAGTAAAAGTTGTGTTAGTAATAGTTTACCGCACGTGTTGTTTATTAGTTAATACGCGCAATTCAACCAATGAAATTGTCTAAATTTTACAATCATGCGACCTGAGCATGGGACTAGAACCAATCACGTCAGTTGTTTATTACGAAGTTACCATGCTTACAGTGAGATACCTGCCCGCCGCAGTGATATATCACTGCACGGGAGTTCGTATGTCCCGATCTCATGTACAGTTACGTTGCAAACAGTGAAAATAATGCTAAAACAGCCGCCTGTTGATGCTTTGAGGTGTCTTCAATTGTCATTTAATCCAAATAAAGTAAACATTATTTTGTAGATTTAGACACAGGCTTTCAAGTTCTATATGCATTTTAGTCATTAAATTAATAAGAACGCTGGATTATACGTGTTAATAGGGTATCAAATTGAAATAATGAAATTAAATATGAACACGTTAATGATAAATGACTATCCGCTATCAGTATTATGACTATCCGCTACTCAGAATAATTAAAATTGCCCGAATCTTTCTATATAACCCCTTGAATGATTGAATTCACTACTGTCCTCAAAAACCGATCATTTAAAATATTTTGTTCAAAATACTATCATGCCACGACTTGAGAGCATTTTGCTCTTCACGATTAGCTGTAGCGCTGATATGACGTCGTATTTCTCTATTTTTGTAAAAAAAATCGCCGATGGGACAAATTATGTCACGCACATAATAATTAATAACTAAAGATCTAAAAAATGAGGATAGGCGTGTGATATATCATTGGAATCTTGAGCCCATGAGCATTTTTATGATTGTATAATATAATTTATTTTATAAGTTTATTTGCCGTCTTTTCTTCCCTGGATTCCGTCTACTAAAACTCAAAGGGGAAAAAGTCGAGGTGTGACAATTTAATGTCACGCACGTTCAAAGGAAAATGTCATACTTAGCTTAATCGAAAGATGTTAAACTCGACTGAATCATTAAATATGGGCTATGAGCATTCTGGACATACCAAATATGTTATCATTTGTTTCTCTCATATCATTTTAAAATGTTATCAAAAGTACCCTAATCAATTTTACAACGTCAAAAAATATTTTCGGAGAAAAGAACGCTTTTGGCAAATTATACTACCTGGTCCCAATACATGCATAACAATGCAATTGAACTTAAAATAATGGTATATGTAGTATAAGGGCTACGTGTTCATGAAATTATAAAAGATCTAGAGGAATCTCACTAGAAATGCAAAATTTTGTATGTTGAAATGAAGAGAGTCTTTGTAACCTGCCATATTTCTATCAGTTTTTTTTTCTTCGTAAAAATAGACACAAGTCGTAAAATGTTTGCTATGTAAACAATATAAATACATAACTTAAATTTTTAACGTTAAGTTGCGGTTGAATAAAGATAAAATAAGTTCGAATGACTTTTTTTGTTTATAGTTTTGATTTTCAAAAAGAAAATAAGGGCCTAAAGTACTGTTTTTGTTTGTCTTTTTGAGTTTTACACATTTTTACTATTTTTTGGGCATCCAAGATGGCGGATGTGCGTTGGTGACATCACAAGATGTAATTACGCAGGCCCGTAAGACACTTTTCTCCAAGGGGGTGCGGTTTTAACTAAAGAGAAAATAAAATTGTCAGTTTTTTTGCCGTGTAAACCAAATTGCATTAGTCAAAAGGGGGGGGGGGTCGGTTACTCCCTATACTGGGGCCACTCTGCCTATTTTGTAGTATTGTTTTTAGACTAAATATTGTATGAGCAATTTGGAGAAACACTGCAATAGGGGGAGGGTGTACTAGAAGGGCATAAATGTCCGACAACTTTTATGAGCTCAAGATCACATTTAGTGATTTCTGGACCTTTTCAAGGTGTTTTGATTGAAATATAATCAATTCATAAGAAATTCAGATTTTTTCAATCATTTTCGAGGGAGCAGTAAGGAAAATTTTACTAATTCAAGATGCTGTCTGGTTAATTCTGAGCACTTTTAATGTGTTTGAGTAAATGAATGCTTTAGTTTTTGGGATGGGCTGCCAGAAATTTTTATGTTTTTATTATGATTTCATTTTGCCACTTGGTGACTTCTAGGCACTTTAAAAGTGTTTAACATTAACAAATGCAACTTTCAAGTGACCCACTCCCCCTAGAGAATTTTACACTTTTGAGATGCTATTTGGTGCTTTCTGGGCACTTTTAAAGTGAATGAGTCAATAAAAATGTGATTTTTTTTTCAAATTCTTTTTGAGGGTGAAGTGGGGTGGGTTGCCAGAGGGGAGAAGGGGTTGTCCCAATGAAACATTGACCATATCAAGGTGCTATTTGATGAAGTTTGGGCACTTTAAAAGTGTCTGAGACAATGCATGAAATAAAATCAGAATTTTTGTCAATTGTTCTGTGGGGGATGCAAGAAGGCGAGTAAGTGTTAGTCTCCCAGAATCAACGACTATATCAAGGAGCTATTTGATGATGTCTGGGCACTTTACATGTGTCTGAGACGATACATAAAATAAATGCAGAACTTTTCAATTGTTTTGTTTGGGGTGTGAGGGGTGGCCCACTCCCCCTAGAAAATTTTACAATTTTAAAACGCTATTTGGTGCTCTCTGGGCACTTTCAAAGTGTATGAGTCAATGAAAAAAATTGAGAAAATCACAATTTTTCTCAATTTTTTTCGAGGGGTGTCAAGGGGAGGGAGGGCCAGAGGGGGAGGTGGGTGGGGTGGAGATCCCGAAGGGGAGCAAATGCTAGTCCCCCAGAAACATTGACTATATCAAGGAGCTATGTGATGATGTCTGGGGAATAAAAAAGTTATGACCAAATTACCATATTTTGAAATCACCAAATGCAACATTTTACATGGTAAAAATGAGCACTTTAAAATTCAATGGAGTTTTTTGAGCGTCTCTTACATAAAAATGAAAAATAAAAATTTAATATTATTGTAACATATATTTTTCATATCAATTACCTGTGTTTTGATATATTACACAGTGCGGTATGTATCATATTAAAAGCATTGTTGAAGAGTCTCCCGAAAAACAGATGTACCATTTCTAGCTGGTATTTCTGTAAATGTACATGAGATCGGGACATAGTATGTTTATATGATTGTACAATTGCATTGTATAACTGCAATATAAAACCAACACTCATCCTATAGAACTCTTGAGAATGATATACTGTACAGCTCCTTGATAACATTTACAACTCCTGGGCAGCGTATACAACTCTTCAACTAACTGCTCAATTGAGATCAACTTTTTATTGAGCACTTTTTATAAAGCTCTAAGAGTGGGATGATAAGATCATATAGTGGTTGATTTTGAACATCGTTATACTCTCGGTCACTCGTGAATAAATCAATTGATCTCCACAGGATTTTTTCTCAAGTGAGTGCAATATTCTCATTTTCACAATTCAGACCGAATTGGTCAAAATATGCACATTTCTCATGCTTTTCTCATATTCAAGTGGGGGCAAATGGATTTTCAGGTGGGTGCAAGCCTATTTTCAAAATCTCAGGTGGGTGCTTTAATTTAATGCTGGGGAGATCACTGATATAGTATATTCAATTGAGTATAAACAGAATATACAGAATGAACCATTGTATAACCTCATAATACATGAATGTTTAATGCAATAAATTATGATACACTTTCTTGTAGTATTTGTCGTATCCATGCATGAATATCAATGGGAGTCATTAAATGATAAAATGCGACTTGATATTACTCTATTGGAATTTATAATGATACCCTCCAAATGCTCGGAATGAATTCAATTAAAAGAACACAGAATGTGTGTCATTCATTATTAGAAAAGAGCAAGTTATTTATGAGCAGTGGTGCGATATTTGCATATTGCTTAATGCCTGCACCAAGTGTAATAATCCACGGTTCATCAAATACTTAATAAAGGAACATTAGTTTGTCATCATTCAAAGGACAGTGTAATTTACAATTACTATTTAGAAGAGTCTTAAGTGAATTAGTGTACATATATTTCATGGAGATGAATCCATGTTTACTGATTTTATGTTCAGGAATAATGCCTATCACCTCATTCTTCTCATTCTTGATGTGCTGTGTGAATTTGGACAATGATAACATCATTTTTATGGCACCACCAAGTCCACCTAGCCACCATTTTTGTGACAAACATCAGTGTCAGTAACTATAGTAACCATTTGCATGTAGTAACATTTTTAATGTTGATGCCTCATATGATTTATGTTCTAAAACATTTAATCTCAGGCTGGCAGAAAAGGGTCATTGTGCTGTAGGCGTTGAGATACAAGAGGAAGCCATTAGAGATTTCTTTAAAGAGTCAAAGCTGGACTTTACAGAGAGAAAGGCGCCAGATGATGATATAATCATATTTGAGGTATAAAAGATTCAAGGCAAATAAATTAGGTAATGGCCATGGGCCCTACCACCTGGGTGTGAAACTTTAATCCGGATGGCCGCGGAATGGCACCAGAGCTCTTTAAAATGTAGATGACTTCTATTGAGCCAAAATTGAATTAAAATGTCCAAATATATTATTTCCAGATTGAAGATCATTCCTTTGGGGTTTTGAAGATATCCATTGTGGGTGATCAAAATAACCCGAAAGCAATGGATCGTATGAGTTTTCCCTATGGGAAAATAACATGGGAAATATTGTTTTCTACTTTATCTAAAAGGAATCACTTATTCCTTTAAAGGGGTTAATAGTGTGTTAAAACACAACATATTGATGCAAAAAAATTAAAAAAGCAAGGGTGGAAGGGGTTGAAAATCAGGAAAACATTTCAGAAAAAACATGTGGGTGAGTTGTTTGCATCTTCCCTGTCTCAAAGTCGAAATTATTTATCATCTCTATGAGTGCTTTTCCTGGAGGTAATGCATTGGTCTTACATATGCACCTGTTTAAATCCTCAGAAAATAGCCAAAATTCAACATATGACTGTCCAAAATCTGTCGCTCCTCCTTTAATGTATGAGTTATAAAATAAGGGTAGACTTTTTCCAGAAATCCAAATCTACAAACCAAATTGTGATTTGAAGTTACAATGTTTTGAAGTTTAAAAAAATCGATATGATGATATCCCTCTGTTAAATCTATGGAGCTCAAGAAAATTATGAATTGTAAAGATACGAGATACACACTGGATACAAACAAAATAAATGAAAGCCTACAATAGAAGAGGCCCCCCAAAGCTCCTTTAATATTTTGGACACTGAAAAGCTAAGGTCAAGGTCTAGGTCAAATCTTACATTTCCAACATTCTGTCAATTATCTTTGTCACCATTCGTCGTTATTCCTTCATCTTTTTTTCATCACATAGCTTAAAAACAGCCATTTCATTAATGTCCCATCTTTTTTTAATTACTCTTACAGATTTTGAGGTATGATATCCGTAGAGTAGGTCAACACAGAAAGTTCTCAAAATTCAATGTATGAGTTATGACATAGGCATAGAATTTTCTCAGGAATCTAATCTGCAAACCAAATTTCGATCCAGAAGTTATGGCGTTTTGATTGCTCAAAAATCGCTAAAGGTCCATGTGCAGTATGGCAAGTGATTTTAGACAGTCATATATTGAAGCATGAATACTTTCTGGGCATAAATACAGTGATTTTTATTAAAACAATATGTTTTATTTCAAGTAAAGTACCCACAATGATAAAATATCAATCGTACAATTCAAAAATTTCAAGGGACCCCATGTCAACATTTTGAAAAAAATGTTGAACCTATTTACTCACAGGAGGATCTTCTTTTTCTGGTATTTATTGCATGAAAAGATTATTCAAAAAGGGGTCTAAAACTTCTTCAAAAGTAGAACAATATTGAATATCTAGTTTTGAAGATAACAATTTTCGATGACCAAAATTATGCTGAAAACAATGGATAGCACGAGATTTCCTTATTGGAAAATAACATGGGATATGTGGTTTTTAACTTTAACGGATTTCAATACGCATCCCCTTTTCATAATTCGTTAATATAGTGTAAAAGAATCTTTTGATATGTTTAAATTGAGAAAAACAAGATCTTCTTTTTAGAAAATGACCCTAACCCCCCTATCACACCAAACTAGTTCTTACCCGTTCTTGCCAGTTCTACGAAAACGTCGTAAAATAATTAGCTACTTCGTTCATAAACAGTCTTCAATACGTCCATCTCATTCGCAGTTTGTTCAGGTCGCACCACGGTGGTGTGCAACATCGTATAACGCGTCCCTTAGTCTAGAAGGTCATCATGACCAGATTACAGAACAGTACGGTCGTCATTGAATTTTGAATCATTTCAAAATTCCAAAATCACCTTCCCGTCTGAGAACGTTCATGAAGTTCGTAAATAGTCCTTAGAAAGTTGCAGCTACGTTCATTCCGTTCGCACACAGTTTAAAACCAGTGTTGAAGAAAGCAGTGGCAACGTGTTTGGTGTGATAGCTATATTTTTGCTAACTCGTTCATATGCAGTCTTTAATACATTCTTAATCAGTTTAAACCCTTTTGCAATAATTTCTACCTCGTTCTCAATACATCCTCAGACAGTTCAACTCGTTGTAAAAACGTCCCTAGTAGGATTGAAGTTCGATGGTTCCGTCCGTCTCGTCGTTAGTACGTTGTAACTCGTTCTAATTGTCGAACGTGACGACCACGAGAGCATTTTGAGCATGTTCTAAGTTCTAGAGGACCTATCCGTTCAAGTACGTTTGATGAAGTTTGTAAATAGACCCCAAGCGGTTCTAAGTACATCCATTTCGTTCGTACACAGTTGAAGCCCGTTTTCGAGAATGTAGTGAGAACTAGTTTGGTGTGATAGTAGGGTAACATTTTAAAAAAAGTGCAAAGGTGGGGTCCTAATCCATAATTTTTAGAGAGTTAGAATTATATTTTGATATCATGGGGACTTCACTTGAAAGAAAACATATTGTTTCAATAAAAACCACTGTATTGATTTTTTTTTTTATACATTATCAATTTATTTCATCATAATCATGTTTTACAAGAATGGCTTGCCAATCGCTTATAAAGCATTATAGGCTAAGCTAGAAAATACATAAATTTAATTACAAATGTAAATGCATGTAGTATGGAAGAATAGCAGCAATTTGGATAAGAAATGGGAAATAGGACAGGCTGGGGTCATGTGTCATAGTCTCAGTGAGGGAATAGTAGGCATAGTTAATACTTGTATTGATGGCCAGAAAGTACTCATGGTGAAAGATATGACTGTCTAAAATCACTTGCCATACTGCACATGGACCTTTGTTCCCCCATGTTAAGTCAATGGGAAAAAAGATTTTTTAAAGTATAAAATACCAGATATAGACTGAGTACAGCTTAGCATAATGAAATTATTAATGTAATATCACATGGTATAATCCGTTAAATTAATCAAAGAGTGTCAAGGTGCGATAATGTGTCATATGAGAATTCCCACTTTATTTTGATAATCCCCTTAAATCTGAAATGACATACTATGTATATAATAACAGTTTGACATTTCATCATGTATCAATTACAATTAATGCTCAAACTTACATATAACAAGAGATGAAAGCAAAAATATTGATTATAAATGGCTAATTTTGCCTAAACTAAATAATCACTAAAAGATTTATTAAACCTATAAATGTCACTATCTCTCTAACAAACACAGAACTCACTAGAATCAGAGACAAATTTATTCAATTAGCTATTAATAATCCTAGCAATAAAAGAAATGAAGATGACTTTATGACTCATTGGTGATTTAGAAGAGACAATGGTATTCATAAGATAAACCATGTTATGTAATATGTCATGTATTATACCACTCTAAGTCCGATTACAGTTGTATAACATGGGTCTATAACAACGATATACAGTGGAGAGTGGTATATCGTCATCGTATACACTCCACCGTATACACTCCAGCGTATACCACTGTAGAAGTGCATTCTGGGAACTAATGAATATTGACCGAAGAACGAGGTGTATGGTTTGTTACACATGATTTCCTAGAATCAAGTGACGTCATAAATGGTTCCCACATGATTTGCTAGAATCAAGTGACGTCATAAATGGATCGAGATCAACATCGGCTTTACTGAGTTGGCTGTGGGATATTTTTATGGTTTTTATAATTGTTATGATTGTGTTTGAATCAACTGTAATTGAACTTAGAGTGGCATAATAAGATTATATAATGGTTCAATCTGTATATCGTGCATTTTATACTCTCGTGAGAATATAATATATTCACTCGTTCGCTACACTCACTTGTGAATATATTATATACCCACTCGAGTATAAACACGATATACAGAATGAACCATTATATAACCTCATATTATGTCTCTTTTCTCATTGTGTATTTTTCATCTTTTATTCTATATACGGTAATAAAGATAGACAAGATTAGCATATCTGGTCACTAAGTACCTGTTCATTTCATTGCATCTACATTTCATCCAAATTTACTGTTCACAAGATTACTTTACTGTCCCTCACAAAATCTACATATACGAGTATATCCCTCTCAATCTTCTTTGGTTTCAGAGTGTAAAAAAGGACCTCAAAGGTGTTATCAAAATATACTGCTGTGATATATTTCATTTTAAAAGGTAAAGCTACATTTTCAAATCTTAGACTTCAAGTGCCTTAAACAAGCTATAACATATTAGTTAATGTATACATTAGGCACATTAAAGCGTATGATAAAGCTATAACATATAAATGTAGACCTCAGGCACATTCAAGTGTATGTTAAAGCTACAACATACAAATGTATACATCAGATACATTAAAGTGTATGATAAAGCTATAACATATAAATGTTTACATCAGACACATTAAAGTGTATGATAAAGCTATAACATATAAATGTATACATCAAGCACATTCAAGTGTATGTTAAAGCATAACATACAAATGTATACATCAAGCACATTCAAGTGTATGATAAAGCTATGACATATAAATGTATACATCAGGCACATTAAAGTGTATGATAAAGCTATACATATAAATGTATACATCAAGCACATTCAAGTGTATGTTAAAGCATAACATACAAATGTATACATCAGGCACATTCAAGTGTATGATAAAGCATAAGATATAAAAGTTTACATCAAGCACATTCAAGTGTATGTTAAAGCTATAACATATAAATGTATACCTCAGGCACATTAAAGTGTATGATAAAGCTATAACATATAAATGTATACATCAGACACATTAAAGTGTATGATAAAGCATAAGATATAAATGTTTACATCAAGCACATTCAAGTGTATGTTAAAGCTATAACATATAAATGTATACATCAAGCACATTCAAGTGTATGATAAAGCTATAACATACAAATGTATACATCAGGCACATTAAAGTGTATGATAAAGCTATAACATACAAATGTATACATCAGACACATTAAAGTGTATGTTAAAGCTATGACATATAAATGTATACATCAGGCACATTAAAGTGTATGATAAAGCTATGAAATATAAATGAATACATCAAGCACATTCAAGTGTATGTTTAAGCTATAACCACAGGCTGGTATCGAAAGATTTGTCCGCTGTGAGGGAGCATGCTATTTTTTATAAAAACACTAAGAATGCTTCACGATTTATTTTTTTAACTCATATGTCTCGTTATATCAAAGATTATTACTTACTCCATGCAATGGATATATCATTTGCGTGTAACCTTCACTACTGTTTGATGTCCAATAACGCTAGGATTAAAATCTATTGAAAACGGCGCCAGAGTATTAAACTCTAAAATGAACCATTTCTTTTTTAACTTTTTAATGGTATGATATAGTGACACGATAATATTAACATATGTTTTCAGCATATCTCTGAATGTATTAATGAGATATTAATGCATTGGGTCTTTTTAAATTTTTTATAAAAAATAATATTAATATTTTTTGTCCGCTGTGACGGAGCATTTTCACAGTTTACATTTGCAACTGCTCCGTCACAGCGGACAAAAAATTTAACATTATTTTTTATAAAAGAATTAAAAAGACCAAATACATCAACATCTCATTTATACCTTCATAGTTATGCTGAAACCATGTGTAAATATTATCGTGTCACTATGTCGTGCCATTAGAAAGTTAAACAAGAAATGGTACATTTTGAATTATGATACTCCGGCGCCATTTTCAATAGATTTTCTTCCCAGCGTAATTGGACTTCAAACAGAAGTGAAAGTTACCCGCAAATGATATATCCATTGCATGGAGTAAGTAATTTTGTATGGTATAACGAAAGATATGAGTTAAAAAATAAATCGTGAAGTATTCTTAGTGTTTTTATGAAAAATAGCATGCTCCGTCACAGCGGACAAATATTTCGATACCAGCCTGTGATAACATGTAAATGTATACACCAGGCACATTCAAGTGTATGATAAAGCTTTAACATATAAAAGTTCACATCAGGCACGTTAAAGTGTATGATAAAGCTATAACATATAAATGTATACATCAGGCACATTAAAGTGTATGATAAAGCTATAACATATAAATGTAGACCTCAGGCACATTAAAGTGTATGTTAAAGCTATGACATACAAACGTATACATCAGACACATTAAAGTGTATGATAAAGCTATAACATATAAATGGATACCTCAGGCACATTAAAGTGTATGATAAAGCTATAACATATAAATGTATACATCAAGCACATTTAAGTGTATGTTAAAGCATAACATACAAATGTATGCATCAGGCACATTAAAGTGTATGATAAAGCTATAACATGTAAATGTAAACACCAGGCACATTCAAGTGTATGATAAAGCATAAGATATAAATGTTTACATCAAGCACATTCAAGTGTATGTTAAAGCTATAACATATAAATGTATACCTCAGGCACATTAAAGTGTATGTTAAAGCTCAAACATATAAATGTATACCTCAGGCACTTTAAAGTGTATGATAAAGCTATAACATATAAATGTATACCTCAGGCACATTAAAGTGTATGATAAAGCTATAACATATAAATGTAGACCTCAGGCACATTCAAGTGTATGTTAAAGCTATAACATACAAATGTATACGTCAGGCACATTAAAGTGTATGATAAAGCTATGACATACAAATGTATACGTCAGGCACATTAAAGTGTATGATAAAGCTATAACATACAAATGTATACATCAGACACATTAAAGTGTATGTTAAAGCTATGACATATAAATGTATACATCAGGCACATTAAAGTGTATGATAAAGCTATAACATATAAATGTATACGTCAGGCACATTAAAGTGTATGATAAAGCTATAACATACAAATGTATACATCAGACACATTAAAGTGTATGTTAAAGCTATGACATATAAATGTATACATCAAGCACATTCAAGTGTATGTTAAAGCTATAACATGTAAATGTATACACCAGGCACATTCAAGTGTATGATAAAGCTTTAACATATAAAAGTTCACATCAGGCACGTTAAAGTGTATGATAAAGCTATAACATATAAATGTATACATCAGACACATTAAAGTGTATGATAAAGCATAACATACAAATGTATACATCAGACACATTAAATTGTATGAGGGAGCTATAACATATAAATGTATACTGTATCTAGGGATTTATCACCGAGGAGCGGGGCGGGATGGATACAGCCTGTATCCATCCCGGTCCCGCTAAAAAAAATTTCAAATTATTTGTCAAGTTTTTTTTCAAATTTTTTTTTCCAATTTTTTTTTCAATTTTTTTTCACATTTTTGGGAAATCTCGCAATCTTTAAGAACAAGAAAACGTGTACCGTATGTTTTGGAATTTTGGAACTTTATAAGGTATGATGTACCTAGAACCTCAGTAAGTATGAAATACATCTGTTATGTACGGTCGGTTTTGAATACAGGATTTATCCCACAGGAAATATGTGTATCTCCCTCGGTCCCTGCGGTCCCTCGGGAGATACACATATTTCCCTTGGGATAAACCCTGTATCCAAAACCTCCCAGTACATAACCCTTATATACATCAAGCACATTAAAGTGTATGATAAAGCTATAACATATAAATGTATACATCAGGTACATTAAAGTGTATGATAAAGCTATAACATATAAATGGATACCTCAGGCACATTAAAGTGTATGATAAAGCTAAAACATATAAATGTATACATCAGGCACATTAAAGTGTATGATAAAGCTATAACATATAGATGTATACATCAGGCACATTAAAGTGTATGATAAAGCTATAACATATAAATGTAGACCTCAGGCACATTAAAGTGTATGATAAAGCTATGACATATAAATGTATACATCAGACACATTAAAGTGTATGATAAAGCTATAACATATAAATGTATACATCAGGCACATTAAAGTGTATGATAAAGCTATAACATATAAATGTATACCTCAGGCACATTAAAGTGTATGATAAAGCTATAACATATAAATGTATACCTCAGGCACATTAAAGTGTATGATAAAGCTATAACATATAAATGTATACACCAGGCACATTCAAGTGTATGTTAAAGCTATAACATACAAATGTATACATTAGGCACATTAAAGTGTTTGATAAAGCTATAACATATAAATGTATACCTCAGGCACATTAAAGTGTATGATAAAACTATGACATACAAATGTATACATCAGACACATTAAAGTGTATGATAAAGCTATGAAATATAAATGTATACCTCAGGCACATTAAAGTGTATGATAAAGCTATAACATATAAATGTATACCTCAGGCACATTAAAGTGTATGATAAAGCTATGACATACAAATGTATACATCAGACACATTAAAGTGTATGATAAAGCTATGAAATATAAATGTATACATCAGACACATTAAAGTGTATGATAAAGCTATAACATATAAATGTATACACCAGGCACATTCAAGTGTATGATAAAGCTTTAACATATAAAAGTTCACATAAGGCACGTTAAAGTGTATGATAAAGCTATAACATATAAATGTATACACCAGGCACATTCAAGTGTATGATAAAGCTTTAACATATAAAAGTTCACATCAAGCATGTTAAAGTGTATGATAAAGCTATAACATATAAATGTATACACCAGGCACATTCAAGTGTATGTTAAAGCTATGACATATAAATGTATACATCAGACACATTTAAGTGTATGAGAGAGCTATAACATATAAATGTATATATCAGACACATTAAAGTGTATGATAAGCATAAGATGTAAATGTTTACATCAAAGTGTATGATAAAGCTATAACATATGAATGTCTACCTCAGGCACATTAAAGTGTATGATAAAGCTATAACATATAAATGTAGACCTCAGGCACATTAAAGTGTACGATAAAGCTATAACATATAAATGTATACCTCAGGCACATTAAAGTGTATGATAAAGCTATAACATATAAATGTATACATCAGGCACATTCAAGTGTATGTTAAAGCTATAACATACAAATGTATACATCAGGCACATTAAAGTGTTTGTTAAAGCTATAACATATAAATGTATACATCAGGCACATTAAAGTGTATGATAAAGCTATAACATATAAATGTAGACCTCAGGCACATTAAAGTGTATGATAAAGCTATGACATATAAATGTATACATCAGACACATTAAAGTGTATGATAAAGCTATAACATATAAATGTATACATCAGGCACATTAAAGTGTATGATAAAGCTATAACATATAAATGTATACCTCAGGCACATTAAAGTGTATGATAAAGTTATAACATATAAATGTATACCTCAGGCACATTAAAGTATGTGATAAAGCTATAACATACAAATGTATACATCAGGCACATTAAAGTGTTTGATAAAGCTATAACATATAAATGTATACCTCAGGCACATTAAAGTGTATGATAAAGCTATGACATACAAATGTATACATCAGACACATTAAAGTGTATGATAAAGCTATGAAATATAAATGTATACCTCAGGCACAATAAAGTGTATGATAAAGCTATAACATATAAATGTATACCTCAGGCACATTAAAGTGTATGATAAAGCTATGACATACAAATGTATACATCAGACACATTAAAGTGTATGATAAAACTATGAAATATAAATGTATACATCAGACACATTAAAGTGTATGATAAAGCTATAACATATAAATGTATACATCAGGCACATTCAAGTGTATGATAAAGCTTTAACATATAAAAGTTCACATCAGGCACGTTAAAGTGTATGATAAAGCTATAACATATAAATGTATACACCAGGCACATTCAAGTGTATGATAAAGCTTTAACATATAAAAGTTCACATCAGGCATGTTAAAGTGTATGATAAAGCTATGACATATAAATGTATACATCAGACACATTTAAGTGTATGAGAGAGCTATAACATATAAATGTATACATCAGGCACATTAAAGTGTATGATAAAGCTATAACATATAAATGTAGACCTCAGGCACATTCAAGTGTATGTTAAAGCTATAACTTATAAATGTATACCTCAGGCACATTAAAGTGTATGATAAAGCTATAACATATAAATGTAGACCTCAGGCACATTCAAGTGTATGTTAAAGCTATAACATATAAATGTACGCATCAGACACATTTAAGTGTATGAGAGAGCTATAACATATAAATGTATACATCAGACACATTAAAGTGTATGATAAAGCATAAGATGTAAATGTTTACATCAAAGTGTATGATAAAGCTATAACATATAAATGTATACCTCAGGCACATTAAAGTGTATGATAAAGCTATAACATATAAATGTAGACCTCAGGCACATTCAAGTGTATGTTAAAGCTATAACATATAAATGTATACATCAGACACATTTAAGTGTATGAGAGAGCTATAACATATAAATGTATACATCAGGCACATTAAAGTGTATGATAAAGCTATAACATATAAATGTAGACCTCAGGCACATTCAAGTGTATGTTAAAGCTATAACATATAAATGTATACCTCAGGCACATTAACGTGTATGATAAAGCTATAACATATAAATGTAGACCTCAGGCACATTCAAGTGTATGTTAAAGCTATAACATATAAATGTATACATCAGACACATTTAAGTGTATGAGAGAGCTATAACATATAAATGTATACATCAGACACATTAAAGTGTATGATAAAGCATAAGATGTAAATGTTTACATCAAAGTGTATGATAAAGCTATAACATATAAATGTTTACATTAAAGTGAATGATAAAGCTAGCAATACTGCTATTTTCCAGAGAGTATGAAGGTGTATTTGATGGTATATGGGACAGAGGTGGATTTGTAGCAGTGCAAAGAGCAGATGTAAATATGTATGCATTTATACATGTACATTAAATAATTAATCAGTATAATTGTGAGGTAAATTGATTTTTTTATTTTAAAAATGTTTCCTTTTTAATAACAGTTACAATAGAACAAAGTGTAGAATCTAATTTCATGACTTACAATTGAATTGACAGCAAATTATCATATTCTGTTGTTGTATTTTGTCAAATGTTCCAATGTTTTAGGTATGTTGATATGTTAAAACAACTTATGTCCCCATCGTGCAATATTCTACTTAATATTTTGAAGTATGAGAGAACCAAATATAAAGGTTTGTCTTTTATTTGTCAATTTTTTAAATCAGCTACATCGAACGTAAACTATGTTTTTTTAATTGCATCTCATTTTTAATATATATTGTAAATGAAGTTAAGAACATGATGTTTAAAGACTGAAGAAATAACATAAATGTATTCAATAATAGAAGATGTAGTAGTACTTAGGTAATACATTCAAATAAAAATTCAGAAGATGAGCTGATTCTGCATTAAGCTTAATAATTGTGGAGCTTATGAGAAGCTGATTATTATAACCATTATGATGGTTTCATTATGTATTTGGGCTAACTAAGCAAACTAGGGACTTCAATGTTTTGCATCATTTTGTACAGGCCCTCCTAAGCAAACTAGGGACTTCAATGTTTTGCATCATTTTGTACAGGCCCTCCCCATCACCACACAGAGGAAGAAGTTGTGAGTTTATTTGGTGAGGAATACACAGTCACATGTGTCCATAGCCACACTTCCCCAGCCCCTCAATTTAACTTGGAAGAAGTAGACAGACGCTGCTTATTAGTGTCCCACAAGTAAGCCTACACTGTTCAAGTATTTTTACATACTTCTGTGTTATTAACCCCTAAACAGTTGGGCTATAGGGAATTATAACTCTCAAACATGTCCCATGCATAAAAACTGTTGTTATTTTTGGATAATCTTTTAATATACCATTTGATGGAAATATGCCTTTTATTGACTTGGGTGTTTAGAAGGTTGTACAAAGACAAAACACATGGGATGCATAGCAACAATACACAAGAACGAATCATCTAGGAGTCTAATGAGAAAAATGTGTAATGTTTTTTTTGCCTAAATAGTAATTATGTTGGCGACATATGACATATGGTCTCCGTTTTTTTGTGATGGTGATCGGGGATTGGCGGGTGGTGGTTGGCAATCGGCTATTGGTGATCGGCGGGTGGCGGATGATGTCTGTAACAAATTCTTAAAACTTCTAATAACATTACAAAGACTGTTTAGACTGTTTTTCAAAAGTATCTAAAAGTTTTCAGAAGTTTAAATCTGATTTTATATTTAAGATTTGACCTTCAGTGACCTTTTCAAGGACAAAAAAGGTATTTTTTCAAAATTTTTTCAATGACATTCTCAAGATCAAAAAAATATTTGACCTTCAACTTGCTCCAAATTGACCAATTATTTTTCAAAATCAACTACAAGTTCTCAGAAGTTCAAATCTGTCTTAGATTTGAGATTTCACCTACAATGACCTTCTCAGGGTCAAAAAGGTTTTTTTTCAACTTGCTTAAAAATTCTCAAAAGTTCTCAAAGGTTCAAATCTAACTATAGATTTGACCTTCAATGACATTCTCAAGATCAAAAAAATATTTGACCTTCAACTTGCTTCAAATTGACCAATTATATTTCAAAATAAAGTTATGAAAGTTCTCAGGAATTCAAATCTGACTAGGTGGTGACATTTTGTCATGTTAATGCCTTGTTTTTGAAATGTGCCAGTCCCTCCCCTTTTTACAAATAGTCCCTCTAGTATGGTATCTGAAATTACATTTTGCAAATATACTGTATAACATAATCACTATTTCCAACGTAATGTATTGCAATTGTTTCAGAGAGCATTCTATTGCGAGTAATCGCAACTTGTCAGAGTACTGGAGAACATGTTGGGAGAAAGGCACTCTACATTGGCATAAGAACGACGTTCATAAGTAAGTATGAGAAATGAAAAAATTGGAATTTTTTTTTAAAAATTGTGATAACCACTTGCAATTGTCTGTTTGACAATATAGTTCCAAGGTAATGTGCTCAGTAAAAATGAGTTACATTTTTTCCCTACAATCATTTTGTAAGAATAAGTTCACAGAAAATAAAATGAAAAATAGAAAACAACAACTTTTAGGTCTAATTACTTTAAGTCCATACAAAAATATTGACCATAGGATAAAAAATATGATATCCTATGATTTTCTTGGCTATCATTTTCATCCACTCTTAGATATAGCCGATCTTCACTCATTCGCTGCGCTCCCTTGTAGAGATGGGCAATATTTTAAACACTTTATACATTTCTTCAGAGAAAACAATTTTATTAAAATTCAATCTTGAAAGACTTGTGGATACAGGTAGGTCGAAAGAGTCAATAAAGTCAATTGTTTTCTCTGAAAAAAATAATAAAGTGTTAAAAAGATACTATATAAATCTGAGAGATGAACTTACTAGTTTTTAAGTTGAACTAGTTTAAATGACTTCTTTTTTTAAATTTCAGTTACATGTCCAATATTTTGTGTAATTATCTCATTGAACGAAGTTCGGAGGGATATAGGGAACGCCTCCGTCCGTCCGTCCGTACGTCCGTCCGTCCGGGCAATAACTCAAATACCGTTGGCCCGATTTTGTTCATATTTTGTACACATATACCCTATGGGGGTAGAAGTTCTGCTCGAAAGCCGATTTTCAAAATGGCCGCTCATTTCAAAATGGCGGCCATTTTAGTGCCGATTTTACAGTAATTTAGGTGCTATATGTAAAACTGTAATAGCAATATGTTTTAAATGTAAAAAAATTATAAGGGGCATTAATAATGCTACAAATGTAGATATTAAAGAAGCACATGGCAGCCATCTTGAAAAATGGCGGCCTTTACTCGTCATTTTACGATTTTTGCTGTAACTCAAAAAATAGTGGAGCGATTTTGTTCATATTTGGTATGTGAATACTATAAGCATTGCACACTGTCTAAAGACACTTTTGGTAGAAGGCGGCCATTTTGAAAAATTGCCGCCATTTTAACGTATTTTACTATAACTCGAAAAGTAGTGGAGCGATTTTGTTCATATTTGGTATGTGAATACTATAAGCATGGCACACTGTCCTATGACACTTTGGGTAGAAGGCGGCCATTTTGAAAAAAAAATTGAAAAATGGCCGCCATTTTAACGTCTTTTACTATAACTTGAAAAGTAGTGGAGCGATTTTGTTCATATTTGGTATGTGAATACTATAAGCATGGCACACTGTCCTATGACACTTTTGGTAGAAGGCAGCCATTTTGAAAAAAATTTTGAAAAATGGCCGCCATTTTAACGTATTTTACTATAACTTGAAAAGTAGTGGAGCGATTTTGTTCATATTTGGTATGTGAATACTATAAGCATGGCACACTGTCTATTTCTAATGACACTTTTGGTAGAAGGTGGCCATTTTGAAAAATGGCCGCCATTTTAACGTATTTTACTATAACTCGAAAAGTAGTGGAGCGATTTTGTTCATATTTGATATGTGAATACTTTAAGCATGGCACATTGTCTAATAAAACTTTGGGGAGTAGTCAGCCATTTTGAAAAATGGAAACCATTTTTATGTGTGTTATTATCCCATCGAACGAAGTTCGGAGGGATATAGGAAACGCCTCCGTCCGTCCGTCCGTCCGTACGTACGTCCGTCCGTACGTACGTCCGTCCGTCTGTCCGTCCGGGCAATAACTCAAATACCGTTGGCCCGATTTTGTTCATATTTTGTACACATATACCTTATGGGGGTAGAAGTTCTGCTCGAAAGCCGATTTTCAAAATGGCCACTCATTTCAAAATGGCGGCCATTTTAGTGACGATTTTACAGTAATTTAGGTGCAATATGTAAAACTGTAATAGCAATATGTTTTAAATGTAAAAAAATTATAAAGGACATTAATAATGCTACAAATGTAGATATTAAAAAAGCACATGGCAGCCATCTTGAAAAATGGCGGCCTTTACTCGTCATTTTACGATTTTTGCTGTAACTCAAAAAATAGTGGAGCGATTTTGTTCATATTTGGTGTGTGAATACTATAAGCATTGCACACTGTCTAAAGACACTTTTGTTAGAAGGCGGCCATTTTGAAAAATGGCCGCCATTTTAACGTACTTTACTATAACTCGAAAAGTAGTGGAGCGATTTTGTTCATATTTGGTATGTAAATACTATAAGCATGGTACACCGTCTATTTCTAATGACGCTTTTGGTAGAAGGTGGCCATTTTGAAAAATGTCCGCCATTTTAACGTATTCTACTATAACTCGAAAAGTAGTGGAGCGATTTTGTTCATATTTGATATGTGAATACTTTAAGCATGGCACATTGTCTAATAAAACTTTGGGGAGTAGTCGGCCATTTTGAAAAATGGCCACCATTTTTATGTGTGTTATTTTACAAGTACGTGTGCGATTTTTCAAAAATTTTAGAGGTGGCTACTTAAAAGCATATTATTTCTTCTGATGACAACTTGGCTAGTGAGGAACCATTTTGAAAATGGTGGCCTTTCTGGTGTGTTGTTTTATGATATTTGCGCTTCGTTTGTAAAAATGCTAGCCATTTCTGTTCGATGGGATTCGCTGCGCTTTGGCGTTGCCGTTGTTCTGGTTTTACAAGTACATGTGTGATTTTTTAAAAATTTTAGAGGTGGCTACTTAAAAGCATATTATTTCTTCTGATGACAACTTGGCTAGAGAGCAATCATTTTGAAAATGGTGGCCTTTCTGGTGTGTTGTTTTATGATATTTGCTATTCGTTTGTAAAAATGCCAGCCATTTCTGTTCGATGGGATTCGCTACGCTTTGGCGTTGCCGTTGTTCTGGTTGATATTTCTGTTGCAATTAAGCGAGCAAAGGAAATGGGTGCTGATATAAATTGCAATAAATATGCATTATTTCAGGTACCTTAAAAAGTACTTAAAGACGTTAACACGAGGCAAGCCAACCCTCAGGATTCTTGTTCCTCTTTGTGGAAAAGCTGTTGACATGAAATGGTAAGATGCAACATAAAACATGTAAATCATTTGATCATTCGGTCTCTTTATTTGGTAATGACTGATGAAAATACAATGAAGCTAGAAAGTATACAGATTCTTGTCACTCTGAAGAAATCTTACATAAAAATCCTAAACCTGTTACATTATGTTTCACAGTTTCTCTTCTCATGATGGACATTTATTGGGGTGTCCCAAAAAATGAATCGCTTTTTGACAAGTATTTCCTTGGCAATATCCCAGATGTGAGTAGAAATAATCTTGATTTACGTCATTAAAAATTCAAACTGATGTCATATTTGGAATCTACATGTAAAATTACATCAAGAAATGTGGTTTTGAAAAGAGTTTTTCAACTTTGAAAATGTGACTTCTAGGTCGGGGAGATTCCCCATAGACCCCATGTTGTAAAACCACAAAAAGTGAAATATCTGTTCTTGTGTTGGGCAGATAATATTTTCTTTTACTGGACATATTTTAATTTGTATAACATCAGATACATAATGGTAATATGAAAAGTAAAACCACTAAAACTGATGCATTTTCAAGTTTAAGGGAATTTTGTAATACCCTGCCATGTTAATTCCCAGAATCAGTCACCTGGTGGCGAAACTGGTAACTAACTACTCGCATCTGAGTAATTGATGACTCAAATTCACTGAAAATTTGTACTAAGTAATCCAGGAGTATCATCATCCCAATGAACGTCCCAAAGTTCAGTAGGGATATAGTGAAGCCCTCCGTCCATTTGTCTGTCCGTCCAATCGTCTGGAAGATAACTCGAGTACTAGTGGACAGATTTGCTTCACATCTGGTGGAAAGATGAATATTGGTGAATATTTGGGTCTCGCTCAAACACTTTACCCTGCTTGCTACTTCTTTCTGCATTCTTGTAAAAACCTGTTGCCCTGGAATGCGATTCATGCTATCACTGAGTTCACATTAAATGTGGTTCCGTATCGCCCAATGATTAAACAAACTATGTCAATCAGGAACATTTAACTCAGTATGCCCCACATGCACCGCTTTTAATTTTACAGACTGTTTTTTCAACTCAACCTGTCTTCCATACATTCCTCTAATGAAGACACTCATGAAGATATCCCCACAGTGTCATACATACAGGAAGTTAGAAACAAATACCCCAAAAACTTCATCTTCGCACACTTAAATATAAACAGTATTAGGAACAAATTCAAGGCCGGAAATAAAATTGTTCCTATCAGAACAGTCAGCCGACTTGCTAGTCAAATCAGAATCCAAGTTGGATGATTCTTTCCCAAGCCAACAATTCAGTGTCCCATGCTACAAACTCTACCAAGAGGATAGATCAATCAGTGGACATGGTCTACTCCTTTATATGAGGGATGATATTCCAAGTAGCCAACTCAAGAATCTACAACCTTCAAAACTGGAGACTATTATATCCTTGAAGCCACAATAAATAATCGTAAATGGATTATAACAGCTGCTTATAGACCCCCTTCAGGAGATCCTTTACTTTTTACACAGGATCTATCACTTGCACTGGACAAGTGCCTTACCAAATCAGATCACCTAGTTCCTGGAGATCTGAATATGGATTTAAACCCACCTGAATCCAAAGGGAGACCTTTATGCGATTTATGCGACACCTTGGATCTAAAAAACAATTGTAGATACTGCAATATATAAGCACTTGTGCAACCTGCTTCAAGGGAGCCCCATCTATTTTGGACATCATACTAAGTAACAGGAGTCAATGATTTACACTAACAGATGCCTATGCCACTGGGCTGATTGATTTTCATCACTGTGTATCCACAGTCCTGAAGGGCTTTCTATCACCAGCCAAACCCAAGACTATTTACATACAGGAGTTATAAGTCTTTCGATCCCGAGGCTTTCCTCAATGATTTTAAAAACTACTCCTTTCCAGACTTGCAAAGACTTGACGACGTTGATGACACATATAATTCCTATAGCAAACTTCTTGTCAATCTAATTGTTTCAATGTGTTTCAATGATGTTTCATTCGCAACAGACCAAAAAGTTGCGATAGCTCTTACCCTGCCGCAAATCAATCGCAAATATTACCAATCTTTAAGACACTTGTTATCTATTTTAAATGTGTCAATCTAGGGGTTTCTTTATTGATTGCGAAGTATGATCTTTTCTAAAGGCGACTGTGTAATAAAAAGTTAAAAGGTATGAGGAGCCTTTAAAATCTTTGAATTCTATAATTAAATCCAAATTTTGATCGCAAATCCAAGAAAACAAAACACTACGTTCATTCCAGCATTGCTAAAATTGGGCATAACTTTTAGGTTCTTTGCAACAGGCAACTTACAAATGACAAGTAGGGACTTAATTGGAATACAGTATATTGTAATTTTTGACAGATATTGAGTGAATCAAGGTATTTCTATTTCGCTTAATGACACCCTTGGCCAAGGTCAACTTGAAATTATACTTTCCCTTGAAGTAAACACCCTTGGGGGTATTTTGAAATTAAATGAGAAATTACATTGACCCCTCCCCCCATTGAACGCAAATCAGTATTTGCTAATTGGGGGTTTCGATCGCACTGAAATAGTTTTAACATAAATGGTGGAATATTTGATTTTTACTGGAAAATGCAAACGTCCTTTACACTCACGATACTTTTATTTAGATGTAAATAAATGACTGTGGACTATGTCTAGGAGCGGATGCCATCTAGAAGCAAACATTCTGATATTATGATTTGACTCCTAAACGTCGTTGAATATCAATACACCCTCTCACCAGAGTGCACATTCGTCAGTCAGTACACAATCTTATCCGAGTGCACCTTTGTCATTACATGCTCTAAACTGAGTAAAGTTTCGTCTGAACAGGCTCTTATCTGAGCGCATCCTTCTCAGTACACTCTTTTTTGGCTCACACAGTGAGCCTATGGGATCGACCAGGTGTCCGTCCGTTGGTCTGTCCATCTGTCCGTCCGTCCGTTGGTCCATCCTCCCGTTTAAAGCCACGTCATACATACTCAAACCCGCAACCTGGGTGAACCCTTGATAGTACATACTTTCACCAGATGACTAGGGTGTACTCTGGTTAGAGTTACTCATGAGGGTGCACTAGGGTGAGAGTGTGTTCTGACGAGTGTGATATACTTAGAAATAAATCCCATGAAAATTGAACTTAAAGATCAGTGATGATGTGTGATATCTTTACACGTTTATAGTTTTTGACTGAAATAATCACTTTCTACATTTAAAAGTAAAACTCATTTCGAGATAAGTATTTGTATAAGGCCCGGTAAGTCAATGGGCATCAAAAAAGTTCTGTGACATGGGCACTGTACTCATTAACAGTATTTCCCCACCAATTTATGTTTAGTTGGAAGTCTACATTATTGCGATCGCATGTGGTAAACTACCAGATACGTTGCGATCTGCGTTGCAACAATCCCGTGATAAGACCCAATGTAGGAGTTGGCTAGCGCAAATTGTCGATTTGCAAACGCAATGCAGACGCAAACGCAAATCTTGCGACGAGCGCGTGATAAGGCCTCAGGTTTGCACATGGAGTTACATGTTGTAGGTTGAGTGTCAAGGGTTACACATGGAGTTACATGTTGTAGGTTGAATGACCAGGGTTACACATGGAATTACATGCTGTAGGTTGAGTGTCCAGGCTTACACATGGGGTTACATGTTGTAGGTTGAGTGAACAGGGTTACACATGGTTTAACAGGTTGTAGGTTGAGTGACCAGGGCTGCACATGGAGTTACATGTTGTAGGATGCGTGATCAGGGTTACACATGGTTTTACATGTTGTAGGTTGAGTGATCAGGGCTGCACATGGAGTTACATGTTGTAGTTTGGGTGACCAGGGTTACACATAGGGTTACATGTTGTAGGTTAAGCGACCAGGGTTACACATTGAGTGTCATGTTGTAGGTTGAGTGACCAGGGTTACACATGGAGTTACATGTTGTAGGTTGAGTGACCAGGGTTACACATGGGTTTACATGTTGTAGGTTGAGTGACATGGGTTACACATAGGGTTACATGTTGTAAGTTGAGTGACCAGGGCTACACATAGGGTTACAATTAGGTTGAGTGACCAGGGCTACACATGGAGTTACATGTTGTAGGTTGAGTGACCAGGGTTACACATGGGTTTACAGTGACATGGGTTACACATAGGGTTACATGTTGTAGGTTGAGTGACCAGGGTTACACATGGGGTTACATGTTGTAGGTTAAGTGACCAGGCTTACATATTGTGCTTCATGTTGTAGGTTGAGTGACCAGGGTTACACAGTGGTTGGTGTTGAGACTGAGGAGATTGCTGCAAAAACCTACTTTGAGGAACAGGAGATCCCCTATACAGTAAGCAAAGACAAGACTCTAGGCTGTCCCCTCTACTCAAGTGAAGACAACCTCACTAGGATATATTGCTGTGATTTCTTAAAATTTGACAGGTATCAAAATTTCACTTTGTTAACTCAAACAGTTGTACATGAAGTTGGTCCACTGAATATTATAATATCAAATCCTTTCGCTGCATTACATATTGCCAACATATTTTCAAACACTACTTGCATGTAGATATACTCACCTCAGACATACAAGCAAATTTTGCATAAGCAAACGGCTGTACATTTCCCTTGCAAGAAACATTCTCTTAAAGACTGATCTTTATGTAATGCCTTGGTCACATAGGCTCCGATTTTCACTACGGCGCCCGGCTGATGAGTATTTTGTTCAAAATTGGCCGGCGAGCCAGGGCATCGTAACTGCGCCAGGCGATCATCGGCTGATTTTTATTAGCTCACATGGTGAGCTTTTGCAATCACTCACTTGTCCGTCTGTCTGTCCGTCCGTCCGTCCGTCTGTCCGTCCGTCTGTCCGTCCATCCGTCAACAATAGTGGCACGTTTTAAAACCTCTGTCGATAGGATTCCTGTTTTAAGTTATTTCTGTTCAACATCAATACAGAAAACCCCCCTATGACTCCTGGTTCAAAAGCTCGCCTATTTTCAAAATGGCCGTCACTTTTGTCTCGCGAAATTCACTTTTAGCCCATTTCCTAGCTAACCTCTGTCGATAGGATTCCCGTTTTAAGTTATTTCTGTTCAACATCAATACAGAAAACCCCCTATGACTCCTGGTTCAAAAGCTCGCCTATTTTTAAAATGGCCGTCACTTTTGTCTCGCGAAATTCACTTTTGGCCCATTTCCTAGCTTTACAAATAATTTCAGGTGTCCTACATTGTAAAAATCCATGTCAATGTAAAGATTAGATATATACAATAATTTTGTTACAAAAAATCAGCGAAAAATTGTATCCATTTTTTTATTTTCAGCCATTTTAGTTAACATTGATTTGTCTATCTGACTCGCGAAATCCACTTTCTGTCAATAACAGTGGCACGTTTTAAAACCTCTGTCGATAGGATTCCTGTATTAAGTTATTTCTGTTCAACATGAATTCAGAAAACTCCCCTATGACTCCTGGTTCAAAAGCTCGCCTATTTTCAAAATGGCCGCCATTTTTGTCTCGCGAAATTCACTTTTGACCCATTTCCTAGCTTTACAAATAATTTCAAGTGTCCTACATTGTAGAAATCCATTGCAAAGTAAAGAGTAGATGTATGAAATAATTTTGTTACGAAAAATCAGCTAAAATTATATCCATTTATTTATTTTCAGCCATTTTATAGTTAACATTGGTTTGTCCATCTGTCTCGCAAAATTCACTTTTGCATCATTTACCTTAAACCCTCTGTTGATAGGATTCCCATTTTAAGTTATTTTTGTTCAACATCAATACAAAAAACTCTCGTATGGCTCTTGGTTCAAAAGCTCGGCTATTTTCAAAATGGCCGTCACTTTTGTCTGAACGAAATTCACTTTTGACCCATTTCCTAGCTTTACAAATAATTTCAGGTGTCCTACATTGTAAAAATCCATGTCAATGTAAAGGGTAGATATATGAAATAATTTTGTTACAAAAAATCAGCGAAAAATTGTATCCGTTTTTTTATTTTCAGCCATTTTAGTTAACATTGATTTGTCTATCTGACTCGCGAAATCCACTTTCTGTGGCACGTTTTAAAACCTCTGTCGATAGGATTCCTGTTTTAAGTTATTTCTGTTCAACATCAATTCAGAAAACTCCCCTATGACTCCTGGTTCAAAAGCTCGCCTATTTTCAAAATGGCCGCCATTTTTGTCTCGCGAAATTCACTTTTGACCCATTTCCTAGCTTTACAAATAATTTCAAGTGTCCTACATTGTAAAAATCCATGTCAATGTAAAGAGTAGATGTATGAAATAATTTTGTTACGAAAAATCAGCGAAAAATTATATCCATTTATTTATTTTCAGCCATTTTAGTTAACATGGAATGGTTGCCATTCTTGTTTCGCTAAATTCACTTTTTGCCCATTTCCTAGCTTTACAAATAATTTCAGCTGTCCTGCATTGTAAAAAGCCATGTCACTGTAAAAGGCAGTTGTATGAAATAATTTTTTTACAAAAAATCGGCAAAATATTATATCCGTTTTTTTATTTTCAGCCATTTTAGTTAACATTGATTTGTCCATCTGTCTCGCGAAATCCTCTTTTGGACCATTTGCTTAAAACCTCTGTCGATAGGATTCCAGTTTCAAGTTATTTTTGTTCAAAATCAATACAAAAAACTCCCCTATGACTCCTGGTTCAAAAATTTGCCTGATTTCAAAATGGTCGCCATTTTTGTCTCGCGAAATTCAATTTTGGCCCATTTCCTAGCTTTACAAGTAATTTCAGGTGTCTTGCATTGCAAAAAGCCATGTCACTGTAAAGAGTAGTTGTATGAAATAATTTTGTTACAAATTATTGGCAAAAAATTATATCCGTTTTTTTTTCAGCCATTTTAATTGACTGAGAGACAGATGGCTTGAAATAATTTTGTAACAAAAAATCAGCAAAAAATTATATCCGTTTTTTTCTGTCACCATGTGAGCCCAGTACCCACGGTACTAATTTTATTAGACATCGTACGGGCGCCGGCAGAGTTTTATCACGGAGATAAAAGTTGCCGATGTCTTAGCGATTTTTTCTCAACTAAACTCATCGGTGCCTACCCCGTGTCCCGTCCGGTCATCGTACGATTATCTTACAGCGCCTGGTGGCATCGCACGGTCATCTTGGGATTTTGCGTACTGATTTGTTTGATAAATCTTAATAATGATTACTTATAAAGTGATATAAAGGTTTTAAAAATAATGAGGTAAGGAATTATAATTACTACATAGACATTTTTTATAAAACATAAATGGAACGATTAAGCTAACTGTTAAACAATGACACACATTTGAATGGTTGGGTGGGTGGGTTGATCTAGTAGTTCTTAGCTTATAATTAATCGTGTATGTTTCCACTTGAAATTGAAGGAAAAATTGCCAATTTCTTTGAAGATCACTAATTCTCTTTACAAGAATAGACAAAATATATAAGCACAAGTGCCAAAGGGAAAGGACCAACAGTTGTAATGGAACTTAGCAAGGAAAAGCAAACTCTAAGTGCAGTCTCCAAGACCAGAACACCAAGGGACATTTCATTCATATTGAAGTCATTACAATACATGTTGAAAAAAAAATTAGAAATCGATAGCCAATACTCATAACATGAAAAATAGTTGTAGATACAAGTACTCATACAAATATATAAGCACTAGTGCCAAAGGGAAAGGACCAACAGTTGTAATGGAACTTAGCAAGAAAAAGCAAACTCTAAGTGCATACCAGTCAAGAAAAACAAACCCCATATAGCCCAAAACCATGATCTAACATGAAAAGAAACAATGTCTAATACCCCCTTTCCCCCCACCATTCAAGAACCAATATCACAATCCAAGACCAGAAGACCAGGGGACATTTCATTCATACTGAAGTCATTACAATACATGTTGAAGAAAAAATTAGAAATTGATAGCCAATTGATAGCCAATACTCATAACCTCAAAAATAGTTGTAGATACAAGTACTAGATACAAAAGAAAGATGCAGAAATAGGGGATTTTGCTAATAGCATCGGATGGACAGGTAGACAAAGTATTTGTTTATATGAAAGATCTAAAAATGAATTAAGGTCAGGATGCACTTTGATGAAAAGACCATGTGCAGTATGGCAAGTGATTTTAGACGGTCATATATTCTTTCACCATGAGTACTTTCTGGACAGTGTTTTTATTAAGACAATATGTTTTCTTTCAAGTGAAGTACCCATGATGATAAAATTTCAATCAAACAATTAAAAAAATTATGAATAGGGATATATGTTTTTCAAAATATTGAACCTATTTACTCAAAAGAGGATCTCCCTTTTCTGATTTTTATTGCATGAAAACATTATTCAGGGGTCAAGACATGTTCAAAAATAGAATGGTATTGAAAGTCTAGTTTTAAAGATATCAATTTCCGAAGACCAAAATTATGCTGAAAACAATGGATAGCACGAGTTTTCCCTATGGGGAATTGTTAATATAGTGTAGAGGGGTTTAAATGTTTAAATTGTTTAAACACAGCCTTTGAGGGACCATTACCATCCTGGAAGTCATGTCTATCAAAGTATTTCGTTTTCAAATGTTGCATTCACGCCATGTGGAACAGTCATACAAGGTCATACAGGGATTTAGTATAAATCTAGAGGCCTGTAGATCGACCGATGTCCTGGCGGGTGCCGTACGGTCATCGGCAGATAGCCTTGCGATACCCGTGCGATGTCTTTCAGATACAATTGATTGCGGGCACCGTACGATGCCTGTACTAATGTGACCATACTCACGATTAGATCAAGACATCAGTGAAAAGTCACCGGCGCCCGGTCGATTTAGAAATCGGCCGATGAGAACTCATCATGAGTTGTTCAGATGTCCCTGGTGATATTTTGAGCTAAATTGAGAGGATATACGCTGATGAACAATTGGGCAAAGAATTTGCACAAATACTCACGATAAAGGAGTCATTATCACGATTGTTTCTTCCATTGCTTCGACGTTCGTCGGCCGTCTGATTTCTTGGAAATTCATCGCCTAAGAATATCACGTGACTTGTACATTAAAACCGTTTCGATGAGTAGCATTGATTGAGCTCTCTGTATATATTCGGTCCATGTGGTCTAGGGCGAAAATGCTTCCCGCACGGTCATATCATGGTTAGACTCCCGGCTTATCCAAAATGATATTTTATTTTTCATTGTGCTTTTATTCTGCACTGGAAATACCGTTATTAGCGATGTCGTTTTAATATATAGGCATTCATAATCTTGTTAGTTGTCGAATTTATAAAAATAAAGATACATCCAAATATTGTGTTTTACATAAAGATCAGACTTTAACTTTGGTCTACTCTGGGTGCAGGTACAGTAAAGCTTAAATTATAAAGTATTTGTTGGTAAACAATATCCACAATTTGCATAAATGCTATGATATATGTTTAATACATGTATGAATATGTTTACAGAGATGTTGAAGGCCAATTCGATGCTGTTTGGGACAGAGGGGCTTTTGTTGCTATTGAACCATCTGACAGGCCCAGGCAAGTAAATAAAGAGAAGTTCTCATTATAAAATATTCTGAATACACATCAGATCTGTTGTTTGCATTATAAGCGACATCATGCAAATTGAAGCATACATTGTAATAAGTTAAGAACCATAGTGTATAATGCTACTACATGTACATGTTTTAATATTGGTAATGTTTGTATTTAGATACTGCCAAGCTCTCCTGAGTTTGATTGTGTCAGTTGCTGTATGTCTTCTGGTATCTTATAATTATGACAATACCATGTACAATGGTCCACCTCACCAAAGAACCATAGTATAATTATATGATATTATATGTTTGTTTTTAGATACTGCCAAGTTATCCTGAGTTTGATGATGTGATATGCTGTATGTCTTCTTGTATCTTATAATTATGACAATACCATGTACAATGGTCCACCTCACCATAGAACTATAGTATAATTATATGATATTATATGTTTGTATTTAGATACTGCCAAGTTCTCCTGAGTTTGATGAGGTCAGATGTTGTATGTCTTCTGGTATCTTATGAATATGATTATACCAAGTACAATGGCCCACCTCACCATGTAGCTGATGGTCAACTTCAAGAACTCTTTGGTAGGAAACTATTTCAATGATATTTCCATTTTAATGATGATACAAATGAGCCCAACTGCACTACATGTATATTAAAGTAAAGTTATTGAGTTGCTTGTAATTGAGATTACTGGGTTGATTTTAATGTAGAGTTTCATAATATTGAGATTGCCGGTGTAAAAGGGTATCAATTTATGGTCCTACTCTCTATTGATTTATATGGTGACTTCTTTCCCTTATTATCTTATACACAATCAGGGCCAGTAAGGGCCGTGAAGAAGGGGGACCATAATCCCTTGGGGACTATAATTTCTTTCACACCGGGTTGCAAGGTAAGCTAATTTCAAGGTAATTGACCTTTTGGCCAAATGTTATAATACATCTAGTCTCTGTCAGATAAGTGTTTTTATATTTTATTCAGAAATGGGCATCATCTCTGTCACTGTACTTTTAACATTGTAACATATTAACCCATGGCGGAAATTATTTCATTGGTGTGACCCTCAAGTCTCTGCTTATACATTAATTCAAAAGTAACTTATTGCTAAATATGGTGATTATGTGTTATTAATTCATTAGCGTGGCTCTCAAGTCTCTGCTTATACATAAACTTCAAAATAACTTATTCCTAAATGAGGTGATCACATGTATATGCAAAGCAACTAAAGCAATATAATAATTTTCAATTAATGTAAAGGTTTTTGCTTTTGAAATGATAAGGCAATAAATGAGTGAATTATATGTGAGTCAATTCCAGGTGCTGATTGTGATGTTCTAAGACTTGAGCTAAATGATAGTTTTGGTGAGCAACATCGTGCCTGGCGTCTTTCTGCTTTCCATCAGAAGGTACACTCTCTCCAGAAAAGGTATAACATCCAATATTACAACTGCTCAGTAAAAGATAAATTTAAATTTCCTGTGATCCATTTAATTATGCTTGACTTATCCAAATGTTTTGAACTTACTTGCTACATTTCAATGAACTGCTTCCATCTTCACTTTTTGTTTTGGCTACTGAATGTTAGTTCACTGTTTCAACACTCCAAGGATGTGTGATAGTTGAGGATTAAGGATGTTAGCTGGTTTTGTTTGTAACATCTTGTCTTAAAGTAGGCTGAGTAAGTGGTTGCCTGTATCCTAGTTAATTGATCAAATAAACCACTATGAACATATTCAATCATAGCAGATGAATTTCATCTTATCATAAGACAGTAAAGATGCATGATTTCATGTTTGAGGTCTGTCTGTTCGTCCGTCAACAATAGTGGCACGTTTTAAAACCTCTGTCGATAGGATTCCTGTTTTAAGTTATTTCTGTTCAACGTCAATACAGAAAACTCCCCTATGACTCCTGGTTCAAAAGCTCGCCTATTTTCAAAATGGCTGCCATTTTTGTCTCGCGTAATTCACTTTTGACCCATTTCCTAGCTTTACAAATAATTTCAAGTGTCCTACATTGTAAAAAGTCATGTCTCGCAAAATCCACTTTTGGACCATTTACCTTAAACCCTCTGTCGATAGGATTCCCGTTTTAAGTTAATTTTGTTCAACATCAATACAAAAACTCTCCTATGACTCTTGGTTCAAAAGCCCGCCTATTTTCAAAATGGTCGCCATTCTTGTTTCGCGAAATTCACTTTTTGCCCATTTCCTAGCTTTACAAATAATTTCAGCTGTCCTGCATTGTAAAAAGTCATGTCACTGTAAAGAGTAGTTGTATGAAATAATTTTGTTATAAATAATTGGCAAAAAATTATATCTGGTTTTTTTTCAGCCATTTTACTTAACATCGATTTGTCCATCTGTCTCTCAGTCAGTCCAAAATAGTGGCAAGTGGCTTGAAATAATTTTGTTGCAAAAAATCAGCAAAAAAATTATATCAGTTTTTTCTGTCACCATGTGAGCCCAGTACCCACGGTACTAATTTTTCTAAATGTATGTGTTATATAGTACATATATGTACTATACATGTACTATATACTTGGTTTTCCAAAAACAACTTAGAATACATTCTATTGTTTATATGATAAAAAGAATTCATTCTCCACTAAGTAGTTAAAAATTCATAGATATTTGTAACTACTTACTGAGAAGTTTGACAATTCAGATGACATGCTATGAATAACGATCAGTACAGAGCTGAATGCAATTCCAGTGGATTTAATGATTCATGTGCTAAAACAAATTTGTCTTCAAAACTGAGTGGAAGAATTACCTGGTGAAACTTTCAGATGTTTATGATAATTAAATTGTCTGTCAGATACAGGGTGGTCCAAAAAAGTGAACCCCTGCTGCAACAGGCCATATTATTACTTGCAGGAATTCTTTTTATTTTCACATGTTGTAGAGGAAGGTCTATGTTGGTACCATACATTTCCCTAAGTCTTGAAATTTGCAGAAATTGTAAACCCTAACCAAATATTACTGAAAATGGATGAGTTTGTTCAATTTTGAATCCCACACATTATGGCTTAAAACTAGCATCCTATACCTTTGTTAGTTTCAAAGTTATTGTCATCCAAAGAAATCTAATTTTCAGGCATGTTTGTTTAACTCCTGAAATTTCTTCAAAATTTAAGACTGAGAATAAATTATGGCACCTACCAAAATTTTAGACCTTTCTCTACAACATGTCATAATTTGAGTCTATTCATTCAAGTATTAAAGTCCCCGTCTAAAGTTTGAAAATATTTTTTTATCATTCATTTACTATTTGTCATTACTTAAAAAGTTATTTTAGAGATTTTTGAAAAAAAAGTTGTGAGCATTTCATTTCTCAAATATTCAAAATTCCCGCCATTTTTCAAAAAAAGTTGAAATTTTTTAATTATCAAATATTTCTTAATGCATTTCAAAAAAGATTATCCTTTTAACACCAATGCAAAGATTGAACAAAGGACACACTATTTCAATAATAAAATGCCATATTTAATGGGCCACTTCAATGTTTTAGCATATCAAAAATATTTTGAAACATTAGTGATGTCACAAAGGTACCAAAAACTTTTTGAAAAAAATTGAAATTTTTTTTTCGATGTCTATCTTTTCTCAATATGCTAGACTTCAATAATCAATCAATGTTGATTGTCTAATTAGGTTAAAAGGAAAAATATATTATGATTTAGATATCATTGTACCATTGGTTTCTATGAGAACTAAAATTTTGAAATGCATTTTTCTCGGAACCATTTTCTTGCACTGATAAGTTCATGTCTCGCTTATTTATGAACCGATTTTCTTAATTTTTTCAGCAAAAAACATGCAAGGATGAATGCTATGCATTGGTATGAATTGTGGCTAATTAAAAGATATATGTGACCTCTAAAAGTTAGTTTTAAATAAATTCACAAATTTTTGAACAAAAAGTCTATCAAAAACTTCACATATCACACTTTGATAACATTGGGTAAGACTACAGTATAAGCCAAAGTGGTTTAAACTTTACACGGGGACTTTAAGGAAAATTATAGCCTGTTGCAGGGGTTCACTTTTTTATACACCACCCTGTATTTCAAAAATATACCTTCATCACTTACAGGGTTTTCTTATGTTTACTTTGATATAATTTTTGAGACACCCTGAATATATATATATTTATAAGTAGAAATAAGAAGAACTAATAAAATACGTTTGAAAATCTAAACATGTTTCTTTATTCCTCAGTAGATTTTTCAAAAATGAGAACAAGAGGTATACAGGTAAGTATGACGTAATATTAATATAATTAATTAAACGTCATGGAAACCAATAAACAATTTATTTGTTTAGTTTTGGTTTAAGCTATATTCAGGTAAGTATGATGTAATATAAATATAATTCGCTTATAAAGTAACCAATAAACAATTCATTTGTTTATTTTTGGTTTAAAAATATACAGGTAAAAGGGTATATGTACGAATTATGTACATTTTATGCATAGCGCATTGATTAAGTTAGGTTTCTCAGGTGGGAGTAAAGAGCCAGAGGAAAATATTAGAAGATTTTACACAGAAAGAATTCATAAAATGTCTAACGATTACATATTGGAGGGAGTTGCAAAGAAAAGCAGTCTTAACCTTTACAATTCCCTAAATTTACAGCCAGACAATGGTTTAGCGTATTATCTTCAAAATGATTTCGACTTCAAAAGTGCCCGCATTAAGTTCCTTGCACGTGCAGGGAAGTTCAACTTGCGATATGAAAAGAGTAAATGGAAGAACATAGTCCCCCCCATATCTCCCACGTGCGAATGGTGCCCAGACACAATAGAAAATCTGGAGCATAGACTTACGATATGCCCACAATTTCAAGCTGACCGAGCTATTTTTCATGAAACTATAAGCAAAACGATACCCAAAAATCTTTCTGACATATTCTTTGAAAGTCCTCCCCTACAGCAGTTAAAATGGATTATCAGGGATGAGGCTTATAACCTAGGTGGACACGATATGGGTCACACTTTTGACAACATTAGTAAATGTTTTTTAAAGTCAGTATTTTAGCATAACAATTATTTTAGTACTTTAACAGACTACATAAAGCTGGTTTTAAACATGTTTTAGAAAAAATGCTAATATTGTATGTAAATGTCCAACTGGACGCACACAATTGTAGTGCCGCTGTTATAAAAGCGTAGAATCCAAATAAATAAATAAAAAATAAATAAAAATATGACGTAATATTAATACAATTAATTATCGTCAGTAGTATTTATCCATCACGTACAATTAACCGTTACATGTATAGTAACCAATAAACAATTTATTTGTTTAGTTTGGATTGAAAAATGTTAATAAAATGATTTTCCATGGCGATTCTTTGTTCGATATCGTCTTCATGAAATTTAAAAAAAGGCATAATTGTGAATTTTGGTTCATGTCCAGTAGCACAATGTCCAATGTAAATCTCGTTACATCCAACACATTTCATGGCATATAATACGTTTCTTGATTCACAATTCATTGATACCTTGGCGTTGAATGTTTTGCCATTGTATTTAATATCATTAGAAATATGAACACAGCAGCCACATCTTTGTTTTTCACATTTTGTCACAGTTATATCCTCTTTAGATTTGGAAGCAGAAGAAGTTATGATTCTTTTCAAGTTTCTGCTTTGACGTTTAATTTAATATATTTATATAATTATATATTTATATTTATATAGTATATTTATATATATATATGTATTAAAGGAAGATACAGAACATGTCTACAGCACGTGCTGCCCTGGAATGGAACAAAGCATGGACCTCATGGGATCCTGACAGAGTTCCTTTCCACAAAGTTGACGTCCATGAGTAAGTTTTCATATACATGTACTTGTATTTTAAAGCTGAATAGCACCACATACAGTTAATCATTGAACTGAATCAGCCAAAGTTCGGGTATAAAATATGATGAAATATTGCTCATTTTAGTCAATCATTCGGGAATCTATGTATTGTGTTGTACTGTGACGTCACATCTTATTTTATGCACCTTATTCCCCAATTCTCTGAACAATGTTATCATTTTGTATGTTTGAATTAATTGGAATAAATAATGATAGGAAAGGACACGTCTCTGTTTGGAGAACAGTCTCCTGGGCTAATAGTTTTTTTATGAAAAAATAAAATACAAATCTCGATTTGCAGAAAGAAGTTCATCAGTGTACTGCGCTTATCATTTTTTCATGAAAAATCTATTAATATCACCCAAATTGAATCATGATTATTAGAAAAAATACTTTCTAATCTATATTATGTAAAAAAAATCAAATTTGTCCGAAGCAGTGGTAACACTCAATTAGAGTAATGAACTTCGTTTTCCAAACCGAGAATAGTATTTTGACACTCGTTGGACAGAATGTCAGCACTAATGCACTCACCATCGTTCGTGCATTGTAGCGGCAGTTGGTGTTTGAAGTTTTGCACCTGTAACAAATGGCAGCTGGTGACATCTTAGATATTTGTTGTTGTTTGTTTTTGTGGATCGCATTCACAATTTCAAATGATATTTTTTTGTTTTGCGTTAATAAATATTCTCAACTAATGCATTCAATCATATCTACATGTAGTGCAAATCTTAATACCGTTGAGTCTGTTGTTATTTAGGGCATTGGAGACCTACATAGAGCCATTGACTGATGGTAGAACAGAATTAAAAATATTTGTGCCTTTGTGTGGGAAATCTGTTGATTTAAAATGGTATGTATGTATTCAAATAACTGTAAAAAAACTAGAATAGACATTACGATAACTTTGATTAATTGAGCATCTAATAATAAGTTCGCATTATTAAATTAAAGGTTGCGCATCATGTTTTAATAACTTTGGTACTTAATGAATTAGTGTAACAACTTTAAAAGCAATTGTTTAAAAAAGATTTGATCTGCCATTGTAGCTTAATGTGTACATCTTTAGATAAAGGTACAATAATAGTACTTACCTCATTTTTCATGTAGGTTGTATGATAGAGGTCACCACGTGGTAGGTGTTGAGATAGCAGAGCTGGCAATACAACAGCTTAAGATAACGGAACAATAATAGTACTTACCTCATTTTTCATGTAGGTTGTGTGATAGAGGTCACCACGTGGTAGGTGTTGAGATAGCAGAGCTGGCAATACAACAGTTCTCAGAGGAGCAGGGAATTGAATTTAAGTCACAACCTATTGGCCCAATAGAGGGCACTGTGTACAAGGTATTCTATAAATTAAATATTGTAATGTGTGCTTGTGAAATTCCTCAAATGGCAAAATGGAAAAATCAGGTTTCAGCTTTTTTTGGTCGTAACTCCACGAGTATTCTATAATTTGATTGAAATTGTAACATTATTCTTAGCTCCTACTGTTAAATATTAAAAATATTGAATCCTTCCCATGTGAGCCCGCAGTATTCATAATGCTATTTTTGGCATGTGTTTCTCTTCTCATAGAGTATTGATGGAAAGTTGGAGATCCTCAGTTGTGACCTATTTAGCATATCTAGGTATGTGTAAACCTTTTTTCACCAATATCAGTTGATGATTAAATATAAAATCAACATTTAAGAATTAATATCCAATAGAAAAAATAAATGAAATCTGAATGAGATAATTGAATTGTGTTCATTACATACCATATGGTATGAATTAACAAATACAAATTCATAAAAGTTATTCAAACACTCACAAATGTAGAACTCAGTGAACTTTGGCATTTGATTGTTTTTGTTTTACTACTGTATAAAGGCAAGTGATTGGTGGATTTGATGCTGTGTGGGATAGAGGTTCACTAGTTGCCATCAATAGAGACCAGAGAAAGGAGTAAGTTCATATTTTCTTAGACATACTTGTAGTACTAATGTAAATAAAACTGTTAATGCAAAATTAAGTCAGAAATACCCTGATCATACCTCAGAGCACACTGCGTAACATTAAAAAACAAGTTAAACCCTTTCCTGATTAATGTTAATTGTTCTCATGTAGAACTACAGGGTGATCCAGAAGTAACGTCAAAGACATTGTAATTTCAAAAGTATTCATCAGATCTTCATGAAATTTGGTATACATGTACCCACAACATTTCTGAGTTACCATCTCAAAGATTGGAATTCAATCATTTCATTGGTTGAAATTATGGTTGCTATAGTAACCTGATATCGCGTAACCCGGGGCAAATTGAAGAGAAACCATAACGTTTTTGTGAATTTCTCTAATTTAAAAAGTCAGTAACATTTGAAAATGTTCATTGTTTGTTTTCTATGATTTTTATATTTGTTGCCATGGTAACAAATATGTAATAGTTGTGATGTCACAATAGGCATTCATAAAAAGCTTTCAATTTCTTTGAATTGCTTCCATCATCCATGACAAATACTAACATGACCAAGGACACTAACCCACCCAATTCAAGATGGCGCCAAGTCAGAGTAAAATAGAGCAAAGAACAAACATTAAGTTCTGTGTAAAGTTGGGGAAAGGTGTAAAAGAGACTATAAGACAGATAAAGAAGGCATATGGTAAAGCTGCCATTGCTGAGAGAAACATTTACAGGTGGTTTAACAAGTATTCCAGTGGATATGATGAAGTGGTAGACAAGCAGCGAGGAGGCAGGCCAGTGTCGTCATTCGATGATCAAACCATCAAAGCAATTGAAGCTGATGTTAGGGACAATAGGCAAATTTCTATCAGAGAATTGGCTGAAAAACACGATCTGAGCTATGGGACTGTGCAACGGATACTGACAAAGAACTGTCTGTTAAAGAAGGTGTCTGCTAAATGGGTGCCGCATGACTTGACACAGGAGCAGAAAGACCGGCGTGTTAAGGCTTCAAGGGACTTTCTTGCAAAATATCGGAGAGATGGAGATGACTTTCTTAACAAGATCATTACGAGTGACGAATCATTGCTATCATTCTACATCCCAGAGACCAGGCAACAAAGTTCATCGTGGAAACATGACAACTCCCCAACACCAACCAAGCCTAAAATAGTACCAGGAATTCCACAAAAGAAACAAATGGTTGTGACATTCTTTGACATTAGAGGAATGGTGTTAACCCATTTTGTTCCCATTGGCCAGAGAATTAATGCCGTTTACATTGCAAAGGTAAGATATCATTTGTTCTAATAATACATCATACTGTGAATTTTATTTTTAAATTAAAGTATTTAAATGTTGTTCACTGTCAATATAATTATAACTCCATGGCCATGATTCAAATCCAAATCCAATCAATGAAACAACTGGTTTAACAACCATTAAACATTTGTTTTTCAGGTTCTGAAGCGTGATCTTCAACGTTCCCTGAGGAAAAAGCGTCCCGGACATCTGCAGCAGTTTATCTTGCATTGGGACAATGCCCCTACGCACACTGCAATCCTGACCAGCAACACAGTCCAAACACTTGGATTTCAACAACTTGAACATGCCCCTTATTCACCTGATCTTGCCCCCAGTGACTTTTATTTGTATGGGGAACTAAAAAGAAACCTTAGTGGAAATAATTTTTAATCCTGTGAGGAATTGAAAAATGCCGTAGTACTAGCCCTACAAGGAATGAGTTCTAATGGATTTAATTCTGTGTTCAAGGAATGGGTATCCAGACATGAGAAATGTGTTGCAAATGGTGGCAATTATGTAGAATGAACTATTATTAGTAACTGTGCAATAGTATGATTTATATTGTTGTGAAATAAAATGTTGAGGATATAACAATTTCAGATCTTGTTGATATTTTGAGATTACGCATTACACGTTAAGTAATTTGCCCCGGGTTACGCGATATCGGGTTACTATAGCAACCATAATTTCAACCAATGAAATGATTGAATTCCAATCTTTGAGATGGTAACTCAGAAATGTTGTGGGTACATGTATACCAAATTTCATGAAGATCTGATGAATACTTTTGAAATTACAACATCTTTGACGTTACTTCTGGATCACCCTGTACATGTAAATTGTTCCTATGTTCACAGATGACGCAGAATGCCTGGAATACGTGACTCATTTTAACATTACACTTCTCGTAACATTGTGTTGTAACATTGAGTTTATTATTTGGTTTTATTTATTAGACTCATACAAAGATGGCTGTTGTAAAGTTCATACTTTAATAAAGTAATGATACATTATACTGTAGATTGGGTTAATTTGGCGCTACTTAATTTGGCGATTTTGCCATTTTTGGCATATTGGCAGCTATTTAATTTGGCGGATATGCAAAAAATGTTAATACAATGTTAAACTTACTGGCTGTTTACGAATTACCATGTAAATGGGCATGTTTGGCTATGTTCATTTTTTCTTTTGAGGACCACCATGCCCATGATACCACTGATGATATTCACCACGTTTGTACATTTTTGTGAGATCATTTACATTTTGCACCTCGATCAATGCTGCTAATATACCGTGCTTTTCCTTTCTAGTTTTCCCGAGTATTAATGAGTGACTGACCAGTTCTGAGCCAATTTATGAGAGACATTTTTTCATATTGGAAGTGACCTAAATACACTGGACAAAATAACCTAGATAATTCCCGGGGATTCATTCTAAATTTTGGCGAAGATTTATATTGGTGAATTTTTCAAATTCGCCAAATTAAAGCGGGCGCCAAATTAACCCAATCTACAGTAAGCATTTTGACTTCATCACCATCTTTTCATTACATTATTTTTGTTATGCTAAGCATATGGATAATAACAATGTAAATACAAATACATTGTGTTATTTTAGATATTCGCAGCTGATGCACTCCTTGGTTAAGGACGATGGCAAATATCTCATCACAGCCTCCCAGTATGACATGGACCAGTACTCAGGTAACATCATTTATTCAGTATGACATGGACCAGTACTCAGGTAACATCATTTATTCAGTATGACATGGACCAGTACTTAGGTAACATCATTCAGTATGACTTGGACCAGTACTCAGGTAACATCATTTATTCAGTATGACATTGACCAGTACTCAGGTAACATCATTTATTTAATTTGACATGGACCAGTACTTAGGTAACATCATTCAGTATGACTTGGACCAGTACTTAGGTAACATCATTTATTCAGTATGACATGGACCAGTACTTAGGTAACATCATTTATTTAATTTGACATGGACCAGTTCTTAGGTAACATCATTTATTCAGTATGACATGGACCAGTACTTAGGTAACATCATTTATTCAGTATGACATGGACCAGTACTTAGTAACATCATTTATTTAATTTGACATGGACCCGTTCTTAGGTAATATCACTCAGTATGACTTGGACCAGTACTCAGGTAACATCATTTATTCAGTATGACATGGTCCAGTACTCAGGTAACATCATTTATTTAATTTGACATGGACCAGTTCTTAGGTAACATCATTTACTCAGTATGACATGGACCAGTACTTAGGTAACATCATTTATTCAGTATGACATGGACCAGTACTTAGGTAGCATCATTTATTTAATTTGACATGGACCAGTACTTATGTAACATCATTCAGTATGACTTGGACCAGTACTAAGGTAACATCATTTATTCAGTATGACATGGACCAGTACTTAGGTAACATCATTTATTTAATTTGACATGGACCAGTACTTAGGTAACATCATTCAGTATGACTTGGACCAGTACTTAGGTAACATCATTTATTCAGTATGACATGGACCAGTACTCAAGTAACATCATTTATTCAGTATGACATGGACCAGTACTTAGGTAACATCATTCAGTATGACTTGGACCAGTACTAAGGTAACATCTTTCAGTATGACTTGGACCAGTACTTAGGTTACATCATTCAGTATGACTTGGACCAGTTCTTAGGTAACATCATTTATTCAGTATGACATGGACCAGTAGTAAGGTAACATCATTTATTCAGTATGACATGGACCAGTACTTAGGTAACATTATTTATTCAGTATGACATGGACCAGTACTCAGGTAACATCATTTATTCAGTATGACATGGACCAGTACTCAGGTAACATCATTTATTCAGTATGACATGGACCAGTACTCAGGTAACATCATTCAGTATGACTTGGACCAGTAGTGAGGTAACATCATTTATTCAGTATGACATGGACCAGTACTCAGGTAACATCATTCAGTATGACATGGACCAGTAGAAAGGTAACATCATTTATTCAGTATGACATGGACCAGTTACAATTACAATTACAAATAAAAAGGCTATTGAATTAACAGCCGGATTTTTATTACACTTTATTGTCAAGGAAGTTAAATAGTCCTATATTCATTAATTTGTACATATATCTCTGACCTGTCTCCACGTTTTCACGATTATTTTCATGTTCATAAATATGTTCTATATCTATCATTTGTACATTGTGACCTATTTTAACTTATATTGTAACTACTTCAACAGGGCCAATAATGCTTCGGTGTAGGCCCTGTATCTGTTTGTATGATGTATTATGAAATAAAGGAAATATAAAGATAAAAAAAATAATATTTTAAAATGGACCAGTACTTAGGTAACATCATTTATTCAGTATGACATGGACCAGTACTTAGGTAACATCATTTATTCAGTATGACATGGACCAGTACTTAGGTAACATCATTTATTTAGTATGACATGGACCAGTACTTAGGTAACATCATTTATTCAGTATGACATGTACCAGTACTTAGGTAACATCATTCAGTATGACTTGGACCAGTACTTAGGTAATATAATTTATTCAGGATGACATGGACCAGTACTTTATAGGTAACATCATTCAGTATGACTTGGACCAGTACTCAGGTAACATCATTTAGTATGACTTGGACCAGTACTTAGGTAACAACATTTATTCAGTATGACATGGACCAGTACTTAGGTAACATCATTTATTCAGTATGACATGGACCAGTACTTAGGTTACACCATTTTCTCAGTATGACATGGACCAGTACTTAGGTTACATCATTTATTCAGTATGACATGTACCAGTACTCAGGTAACATCATTCAGTATGACTTGGACCAGTACTTAGGTAACATCATTTATTCAGTATGACATGGACCAGTACTCAGGTAACATCATTTATTCAGTATGACATGGACCAGTACTCAGGTAACATCATTCAGTATGACATGGACCAGTACTTAGGTAACATCATTTATTCAGTATGACATGGACCAGTACTTAGGTAACATCATTTATTCAGTATGACATGTACCAGTTCTTAGGTAGCATCATTTATTCAGTATGACATGGGCCAGTTCTTAGGTAACATCATTTATTCAGTATGACATGTACCAGTACTCAGGTAACATCATTTATTTAATTTGACATGGACCAGTACTCAGGTAACATCATTTATTTAGTATGACATGGACCAGCATTCAGGTAACATTATTTGTTCCACAAAAAACAAATTGAGAAATTAACTTGCAGAAATCATCTTTTTGAGTTATTTTTGATTCATTAAGTTAATGTACCGGTATATGGACCAGTACTCAGGTAACATCAATTATTCAGTATGACATGGACCAGTACTCAGGTAACATCATTTATTCAGTATGACATGGACCAGTACTAAGGTAACATCATTTATTCAGTATGACATGGACCAGTACTCAGGTAACATCATTTCTTTAATTTGACATGGACCAGTACTCAGGTAACATCATTTAGTATGGCATGGACCAGTACTTAGGTAACATCATTTCTTTAATTTGACATGGACCAGTACTCAGGTAACATCATTTATTTAGTATGACATGGACCAGTATTCAGGTAACATTATTTGTTCCACAAAAAAAATAATTGAGAAATTAACTTGCAGAAATCATCTTTTTGAGTTATTTTTGATTCATTAAGTTAATGTACCGGTATATATTTTTACATTTTCATCATCGACATGTATTTGTTGAAAAGGTATAATGCTTCAATTTTACATATATATTACATCCAAAGCCTTCTTTAAACCTTTGACTAGGGATAAATCTTATTGGCTCAACCTGTACTTGTTTTAGGGCCTCCTCACTGTGTTACACCAGCTGATATGGAGACGTTATATGGTATGTATATATGTCTATGTTTTGAATATATATTGATATTACATATAACGTACGAGGCTATTTCCACAAATTATCGTAAACAATATCCCAAAGTGTTTGTATTTAATTATCCTTGAAATTTTTATTTTCCAATCTATTATGTCACCACCAAAAAGTGGTGACATATTGTTACGGCCCGTTTTTTGAAACGCCGGGTGGTGGTTGGCGATCGGCAGTTGCAGTTGGCGTCTGTAACAAATTCTTAAAACTTCAAATAACTTAGCAAATAGTGTTTAGACTGACTTCAGTTTTTTAAAATCATCTTCATGTACAAGTTTTCAGAAGTTCATATCTGACCTTATATCTGAGCTTTATATTTAAGCTTGATATTAACCTTCAGTGACGTTTTCAAAGTCAAAAAATGTAAACGAAAGGTAAAAAAGGGTCTTTTTTCAACCTGCTTCAAATTGACCACTCTTTTTCAAAATCATCTACGAGTTAATGAGAAGTTCAAATCACACTGTAAATTTGACCTTATTCTCCTTATAAAAAATATTTGACCTTCAATGAAGGTATTTTTCAACTTGCCTCAAAATTGACCAATATTTTTCAAAATCATCTCCAAGTTCTAAGAAGTTCGAATCTGTCTTTCGATTTGAGATTTCACCTTCAATGACCTCCTCAGGGTCAAAAAGGGTATTTTTCAACTTGCTTCAAATTGACCAATTTCTTTTTCCGAAATTCAAATCTGACTTTAAGATTGAACTAATAATATTGTGAGTATTGGAGTTATGTGGTTAAATTTTGTCATGCTAATGCCTTGTCTAAAGTTGCGATAGAATTCATGTCTAAGTTGGCAATAATCAAATAAAGCGAAAAATTAGTGATCGTTTCTTTTAACATTCTTTCAGGAGAGAAGTTTGAAATTGAAATACTAAAGGAGTTTAATATGCCTTCTTTTGGCATGGAAGAGTATACAATGCGATATTACCTGCTGAGTAGAAGTTGCGTAGATGTTGGACCATCACCTGCTAAAAAAACCAAGTACTTCAAAACTTGACAATCCCAAGTGAACTATTGAAAACAAGGGGGTGTGATCTTGCATGCCTTATCGTGACAATTGTCTACATAATCACTCTACAGAACTACATATATACTTGTATATATAGAACCTGTTATTTTATCATACATGTAACTAAATGCACAATTTATTGCACAAATACGTGTATATATGGAACCTGTTATTTTATCATACATGTTACTAAATGCACAATTTATTGCACAAATACGTGTATATAGAGAACCTACTATGTTATCATACATGTAACTAAATGCACAATTTATTGCACAAATACTTGAATATATGTTACTAAATGCACAATTAAGACATTTATTTTTGCACAATTGAAGTTGAATGAAGGTGGAACGTTTGGTCGCTTTGTCTATGTCTATGTCAATAATCTGCAAGAGGCTAATAAGCCCATATAAAGCAAATATATAATTTAACAGTAAAAGAATTTGAATATAATATAATTTAAAACCTTAACATTTGAAAACAGATCTATGGTTTACAACTCATTTTAAAATTTAAAGGAACCTTCCTGGTTGGCCCCTGTATTTTAAGGGAAAAAAATGTGTACATTCCAATACGATGCACATGGAATCCACCTTGCTATGTGTGGTAAACAACGTAGATTCCATATGGAATCTCCACTATTCCCTCGTGAATTTGATCCACATTATTGTCACACATTTCGGCGTGGATATTTAGCAAGGATTCCACACGAATAAACATGAGAAAACTCCCAATTTCACTAAGACTAAGACTGAGTGACTTTTATGGTACCAACAAAAAATTTAGACCGTCCTCTAGAACGTGTGAGAATATCTGCCCATTAATTCAAGTCATAACTGAGATATAGCTTGTTGCAAGGGTTCACTTTTTGGACCACCCTGTAAAACATCACTTGACGGATTGGATTCACATTTTATAGGCTTATTATGCCTCGTGGATGTAGGACCTCTGCTTGAGAAGGAATCCAATATCACGGTGTTATAGCATGACGGTTACGACAAGGCGATTTGCAAAATTTTGCGGTAACGATAACAAAAAATGGCGGATGGGAAAGACAGCATGTTCTCTTTCTCGCCCGTAGGCAAGATTCACAGATAGGATTTCCTTTTTAACTAAGGTAGATACCAATACTTTTTGACACTCAACTTTTTGGCAATTAAAACTCCCTGCCTGCATTTAGTAGTCATATATTGTCATGTGCATAATTTTGAAAACATATCCTAATTATTTCACAAACCCTTTGTTGATTCTGCAATAGTTTCCAATTTGTAAACAGCATTTAGCCTTTTTAATTGGGAACTTTTTTGAAATTTCCAAAATGGCTGCCATGTGATTTTAGAATTAACATGAGTGTGACGTGACATCACAGTTGCTCGTTCCTAGGTAACAGCAAGATCACAATTGCTCGTTTCTAGGTAGCAACAAGATTTTTGATTAAAATGGCACAGAATTGCCCTGATTAACACCCTTAAAATCCGATTTTCAAAGAATATATTTGGAGAAACAATAAAAGGTAAGTAAAATAAATTAGAAGATGGTTTCAAGTTACCACAGAAGTCAATTTGAAACTCAAGAATGCTTTCTTTGACTCATAATCACAAAAAAGTCGAGTGACTTTTTAGATGTCGAAAATCTTAGTTCCATTCGGTGACGTATATATGGATGGTTATAAAGACTGGGTCAAATCTGCCAGGTGGTTTACTAGAAGCGGAATATAAGGTGTAAACTTACCGACTGAGATGTCCAAGTTCATATTTTTTAGTGATTTCTCAGTATATGTGCCTCAGAGCCACTCAAACTATTAACAGTAAGTAAACTGTGTATAAACAAGCCATAAAATGACAAATCCAGAACAGGAACGTGGTCATATTGTAAATAATAAGGATTCAAACGCAATGTCGTTAGACGACTACGTATGAATTCTATGGACGGTAACGTATTGGATTAGATGTACATTAGATATTTAGCGGACGGTTACGTGCATGTACATCTTTCAAGTTAAGGTTGCTATTTCTGATAGCCTCTTTCCATGTATTTGTTATAATGGGTAAGAAATGGAATATTGAATTGCTTATATTTGTTTTCAGGACTCGCGACGTTCAGACGTTCTTGTTTGAGGAAAAAATTGTGTCTTGCTTTATTAATGCAACCAATTTAAGTCAAAAGATAGCAATGAAGAGGCAAAAGAAGAATTAGCATCAAGTACTGATGAATATGACAAAATTAATAACAATGAATCTGGGATACATATTTGAACGAGGTTAGCGTAACCGTCAATCAATTTTTGGCGTAACCGCAAATTAGAAATACAATATTATGGCTTAAGTAGAACATATTAGGTGGTTTCCAATGCTCAATTGGCTTTTTATGATCGTATGTAGGTTACATCTATATACCCCGAGGTCGTTAGGCAATGTAGACCATGCCCTAACGACAAAAATAAACAAATTACTAAATTTTGTATAGTTTTGAATTTCAAACTCAACAGTTTTTCGCTTATTTCATGTTATCCCCGGGCATCAATTTGCAAAGAATACGTTCAAAATATACTAAATGTATCACCGAATGCTATGTCTACAAAAATCGCTCATCCTTACTTTCATTGATACACAGTAGAAGAAAATACTGCACCAACCTTAGTTTTCTGTTCCATCGCGGCCATTTTATTGGATAAATCAGTGATCGTAGTCGTCTAATCTCGTTTTCAGAGGTGTCGTAACCGTCATGCTATAAAACCGTGAATATGGCCAATACAAAATGACCGCCATTTTTTCATAAAAACGTTATCTTTGATAATTTGAATACAGTTTGTCAGTTGTCAGTTTGTACGATTACTATGGATTGGGTGATTGATTGATTAATTGATATCATACGGGAATCGTAATCATGCATTCAAGCAATTATGTAAAAAAGGAGTAATGGCACCTGATTGATGGCCGATCTCATTCGATTCTCCTTTTTTAGGTAAATCGAAAAATGTCATCAATAGATAGTTTTGTTCATTGCCCTGTCAATGAAATAGAGATGGATGAGGATTTGTCAGTTGTAGAGATAATCATGTGGCAATCTCCTAGTATAGTAAGAAACTCATCACATTAATTTCTCCTTAGTTGTTTGATAATCAGCTGACCAATCGTGAATAAATTAAGTGCATTATTTCATCTAATGACGATTTAGATTGTCTCGAAAGGAACGCTTATAATCTATTGTTAATGGGTTAAGGGAAAAGCATTTGATCAACATCATACATTTCCATGAATACTATTTGTGTTTCATTGGCTAATTTAACTAACCTCTCTAACTAATTCCAAGAGATCATACAGGTTTTGGATCCCATGATGGCTAGCCCAAAACTGTTTTACATTATAAACAAATGGAAAAGAGTTGTATGCGAAATAAAAACCATCATTTCCGTACAAAGCAAAGGGAATGTTATTATTAAAATGGAATGACTTGTCACATCTGGTTCGTTAGGCAGTCACTTTGTAGGATCACCCCATCCATCAGTTGCTGAAGTAGAACAGGATTCAGATGTAATGCTGGTTAATCGGGCATGCTCTGTTTTCAGGATTTCATTTCGCATTTCAACTGTTTATATATATCCATCGTTCTTTGCTTCCTAACATCTATGCCCTCTAAATGTAAACGTATAGGAGAAAACAGGCGAGCTTTAGATTAATTTTAATATGACTCACTTCTGTTTGATAGAAAATTAAATGCAAGCAGCATATAAAAAAGACAAAATGTGCAAAAGTATGCCGAAATGAAATTATCCCACCGAATGAAGCTCGAGAGGGATATAGAGAAGCCGTTCGTCCGTACGGGGATAACTCAAAGACCGGTTAACAGATTGGATTAAAAAATTTACCCATTAATTAATGGCTCATGAGGATAGGACCTCATCCTTTTAATATGCGGATACCCAAGGGTCGCTGTGCTCTGTTAAAGAAACAAATTTTCAAGATGGACAATGAATTCAAAATGCCTGTTTTTCGTAAAATGTAATCTTTGATAATACTCATATCCCAGATTCGGATTTGGTTCAAATTTTATTTGGAGAAACCTAACGGTCGTAGACTAGGGGGCATGAGGCTCTGTTAAGAAGGAGGATGGCCGCTGAATTCAAATTGGTCTATATTTTTAAAGATTGCTGCTGAGTTCACAATTGCAACCATTTTCATGAGAAAATATAATTTTTTGTGATAACACAACTTGTCAGATTTACTGCTGATTTCATGTGCTGATGTCTTATGGGTAAACAACGTTACTCAAGAAGGAATTTTTAAGGCTGCTTAATTCAAAATGGCTGCCATTCTTCAGAATTCTTTTGATAACGCATATTGGTACTATGTTTTAGTCAAGCTTAATGCATCATGGCTTAGACCTCTACTCAAGAAGGAATTTATAATACCAAACCATGGCACACTTGGGTAAAAATTCTACTAAAAAGACACAATATTACTTTACATGTACTTCTGCCTGCTGGTTATTTCTGTTTTATTATGTTCAAAATTACAGGGATTTGATTAGATATGTTTTGTTTGTTGGGATTTGCTACTTCAATGAGTTGATGTTTTTCTAGTTCAGCTTCTTAAAAGGGCAAGAACTTGTATTTTTTGTTATCGATTTGAGATTAATTATTTAAACAAAAGAAAGCCTGTGTAAATTGATGGTGTAGTAAGTTATACATTATTATTGATTAACTTCAATAACGTTTGCATTAGGAAGTCATAACTTATGAATATTAAGATGAAACATTAATGTTTATATATATTGATTTTATAAGCTAAACCAACATGAAGAAAATTTGTTATTGGGTCGATAAAATCAATCCGGCGACCACATCAATTAATAATTGTCCTCATGCAGATGTAAGTAAATTAAATTATAAATGTTTACACTTCTCTTGCTCGGTCTGATTACCTGCATTTAGATTCATCGTAGTTGGTTAGTTCAAATGTTACTTGACTACATACATGTTCAGATTGACTTGTTCTTATTGAAACATCCGATCGATTCACAGCCTCATGTCTCCAGCTTTATATCTAATTAAATAGACGACGTATAATCATTATATTAAGAAAGATGCTATCATAACTCATGTGCCTGCAGGTTTCATTGTCATCATGACAACTGCAATAATGCTCATGAGCTTTTACATTTAAGGAAGGGATATAGAGCGTGAATATTGGATTT